TCAATCGGTGCAAAAATTCTGGACTGGCTGGACAAACATGTTTTCTTTCATTTTCATCACAAAGCAAATTTCGCTGACGCGATTTTCTGATCATTGTTTTTCATTTTATTATCAAGTCTTGTGAATTTTGAAATATCCATGTGGTCGTAGTACTAAATTGCTTAACATGGATGTGATTTTGTTGAAATATGTAGATGATGGAGAAGTGAGTGTTGATGAGTTTATGAGGATGATGAGGAGAACTACATACGGGTACTAGAGCCTCTGCAGAATGTTGGAGAAAGGATTGTGCCGTAGCTGTAGTATATTTGTATAAATTAAAAAAAAAAAAAAAATGTGCTCTAGACAAATTGTTTTTTCTTTAGTGGTTTGACTTTTATTCTGTGGCAAATTTTTTATCATTAATTATAATGCTTGGAGTTGGACATTATTGAAGGGTAACCTACGGTAATATATTAAGGGTGAGTTTGAGATTGTGGTAACTTTTCTCATAATCACTTATTTTTTAAGCAATGATCTAATTTATATTTGATAAACGCATTTTAAAAGTGATTATGAAACAATCTACTTCTTTCATAATATATTTTATTGAAGGATTTTAAAAGCATGTATTTCTAGTTTTTAGAAATTCAAAATCAGCTTCAAGATATGTCAATTACTGAAATGCCCCAGAATAAACATAAATTCTATTTTTAGCGAGTACAAATTATAATTTTTGTATAAATAATTTTTAAAATTAGATTATTGAAATAATAAAATAATGTTATAAATATAATAAGTAAAGTATAATTTACACTATTTTTGTAAATATTATGATGTGGCATAGGTTATAATCATATAAATTTTATTATAATATTAAAAATTAAAAATAATTAAAAATTTGTGTGATTGTGATATATGTAGGTTATGGTGTAATGAAAATTATGTAAAAAAGTGATGTAAGTGTACCATTACTAGTAAGTAAATTGGTTGTTGAAGTTGTCGCCTTGGTGAAGTGGTCGGAAAACTTTTTTATGGTAAGTGTAATTATGCCTCTGACACTATTGTGATCACCAGTCGGGTAATCTATGCAATGGTATCGGCAGTTTGTTCAAATGAAGCAGCGATTTGTTGTAGAAGTTTTGCAAAGTTTTGTCGAAATTCTTCGGCTTGTTGACGTGTGATGCTGGATTATTTTGGCAAACTGTCGGCATCAGCGAGTAGATTGTCGGTCGGTGGTCTCAATGATCTTGGTGGTATGATGTCACTCGTTGAAAAAATCTTTCCGGTGACAATGGCTAGAATCTTGCCAGTTTTTGGATTTTTTATTTTTTTAAGAAATTAAATTTAATATATTTAAATAATAACTCAAAAAATTATTTAAAAAAATCTATTTTTGCTTTTTTGCATTAATTATATCTTATATCCTAAAATCTAAAGTAGTTTTAAAATTAAATAAAACAAACAGTTGATAAATTATTTTTAAAGTTAGTTTATAAGTGATTACGATGAGAAGCTATAATAATCCCAAACTAACTTAATGTAATTTTCACAATTATTGTAGGATTAATTATTAACATAAGTAAAGAAATAAGGTTCAATTACGATGCCTATGCCATTTGAGAACAATTTTGACATGAATAATATTGTATTTGTACCTCCAAGTGACATATCATTGAAGTTTAATTGATAATTTGACGTGTGATGATAAGATTTTTAAAGTATATGATACATTAAAATTAATGAATGTCAGCATCTTTTGGATCACAAATACGGGGCACCTGATGTGTTTTTTTTTATTTTTTTTTATTTTCCTTTGATCGGAGATACCAAGACCAAGTTACTTATATTTTAAGTAAATATAGTGACCACCTTACCATCAAACCAAGGATAATTCTATTATAACCCTGAGTGGTTGGCTTAACAGTCAAAAATATTTATTTTATTCATTAATTTTTTAGGTTCGAATCACCTTACAGTTATCTATTATATTTATGACTTATCTTGAAATATTAAGTTTATAAGATATTCAACGGACTTCGAAGATTAAATGAGGTACGCGTAAACTAACATTAGACCTCTGTTCCTCCTAGCACGGCAGTAATGGTGGTGATTTGTCCTTTTGTTTAATTGTAGCCTACAGACTTCTTGCTTGACTGACATATTATTCTTCTGTGCCATTACAGCAAATCAATCAAATGATTGCAGATGTTGACAAGGATGGAATGGTGCAATAGATTTTGATGAATTTGTGCATATGATGACAGCTAAATTGGTGAAAGAGACTCTAAGGAAGAGCTCATGAAAGCATTCCAGATCATTGACCAAGATAACAATGTAAATTTCTGTTAGTTTAGACCTTGAGTTTCCTACTTTGTATATAATTACTGATTCTTCAATGTTGGCATGCAGGGAAAGATACAGTTGAAGACATTAAGGGAATTGCAAAGGATCTGTGAGAACTTCACTGAACGAGGATAAAGGAGATGTTGAGGAAGCAGACAAAGACCGTAATTAGCCTCCTATTTTAAACCATTACTTCTGTGATTTTTGCTTTCAACTTTGTCTTAAATGACCTGGCTCATTAAGATTGTTTACTTCTTAATTTTTAGCCAAACCACACATGTAAGGTTTCCTTTTAATCTATTTAATGTGCTCTTAAGATTCTTATTTAACTTTGTGTAATCTGGCCATTTAAGAAGTTGCTCTGGGTCAGATCGAAGGGACATGTATGTAATATATATATATATATATTGGTGCATTTTAAGAAGAGTTGCCTCTGGGTCAATCAAAGGGACATGACATGATACTCATATATATATAATATATATATTGGTGCCATTAAAGTGTTTCCTTTGGGTCAGATCAAAGGTGACTGATACTCATATTATATGACAATTTAATACCTGATTTACAATTTTTGGTGACCATTCGTTTCAGAAAGTTTGACTTTCGGCTGATGCAGTTAGATAAACAGTTGGTGAAGTATTGTTAGTGTGAGGCAATTTCGGAAAGACCATTAGCTGTGATGGTTAAAATAATATATCAACCCTTTCAATTTATTTATTACAAATTGAGTCATGCTAGGGTCATAACATGAAGATTGATGATAAAGTTATTTTATCAATATTTCCTTTTTTTTTTTTTTTTCGTCCAATAGATTTAGATTTTGAAATTTTTGCTAAGTATGATTCGGACCTAGATTGATCTGTTCTTTTTCTTTCTTTTTTACTATAACAATGTTTCTCTGTTATATAGAAAGGATGGAGAGAGGATTAATTTGGAAATGTTAGTCTACACTCTATCTCCAGTCTTCTCTTATGTCTTTTCCCCCTATTTTCCCTCTCAGTCTCACCCTCTTCTATCTTCTGGTTAAACATTGCATTTTTACATCTCGCAAATACAGTGTTTCGATTCTTATTGCCATCGAGATCCATCTGATCGTCGATTTCTGATACAACTGTATTTTTCTGCTATTGAACACCAGCAGTAACATACTTGTTGAACTACAGTAGGTTTAGCCTGATTACTTAAGGGTTTGCTTGTCTAAAGGTGCATTTGCAGTGTTTTGGTACTGCCTAAATTGCTTCTAGATATCAAAAGCACTTTTATGTTATTTGTGGTTTTTGGCTGCAAGAGTCGAAAACCTTTTTTTAAGCAATAATGCTAAATGTCCATAGTTGGGATCCCAACTTTGTATCTCAATCATGTGGCAATTGGTTTGGCAACATCTTTATACTTTTGTTTATTTTTTTTTGGTTTTTTTTTTTTTTTTGTTTATATTGGTTACACACCCCTAGGAGATGATGAGATAGTCAGGTTAACTTGTTCCTGCATAATGCATTTAAAATACAAACCACTTATATTCGATGATCTTCAGCGGCAATGTGGCCTGCACAAAGTCTTGAGGTAGATGGTAGATGACTGGATTCTGGACAATGCAAGACATGATGATGAAGATGGTTGGTGGCGTTGGTTGTCACTGCTAAATTGAGTTTTTTTTTCTTTTTTTTTTGCTCTTACCCGGATGATCCTTTAATGATACTTGATACTTCATCAATTACAGTTATGTATCTTTCTTTTGGTGTTTAAACATATCTTGCAAGTAATCAAAAGCCTTTCAGTATAGATTGTTTTGTAGAAAGGCTGTAGCTCTCTTTTCAAGGAATTTCATATAGAGAATATTTAAAACAAATACAAACAATCTTTCTTTTGGTGTTTAAACATTTTGCAGTGAATCAGATTACATTTGTGGTTTGTGTCTTTAGAGGACTTGGATATTTCTTATTTGTGAGTTGTAACTGTAGTGATATCATATAATATGGGCTGAATAGTGTATTACCTGGATTGAAAATGAAATCTGAGTTTAGTTCTTAAATGATTAGATATGAACCAATACAACAAAGACGAAGGTAAAATCATGCACCGAGAAAAATGAACAAGACTCGTGTTGTACAAAATAAGCATGTTGACGTAGCAAATGTATCAACTTGGGCTTCTCCAGTCCAATGGATCGAGCACAACGGACCCCAAGAATAAAGAGACAATTCTAGAAAAAAAATAAGCTGGTGAGTCCACTAGCTTAAATCTTAAATCTATTTCAATTAAGAATTTGTTCGGATTGATTTTGATGCTGTAATATTATATTTTTTTATTTTTTTTGTGAGCGGGGGTATCCGAGCTAGTTTATGTATACCTTAATTAATCTCTTGGGATCTTGAAATTGACAGTCAAATAAATCCTCTCAGTAATCACCCTTATCAACAACCCATGTGGATATTCTTTTGATTTTTTCATTATCGAATATAATGGGTATATTTATCATTAAAATTGTATGTAACAAAACGTTTTTAATTTACATTGTTATAACATAAATTCAACTTGAACCCTAAATAACTGACCCGGTCCAACTATATTATATTGACTTATCTAAGCCCATAAGGCCGAGCTTAGTTTCTTGAGAGAGATCGAGAAACCACCACACGACCCAGTTTAAAAATGCTTTTCCACTTTTACCCCCATATTTCCTATTAAAGTTGAGCTGAGAGAAGAAAAAGTTTGGTAAAATTGACTCTAGTATTTGGATTCGTTTCCTTTTCTGAGAGGATATCCTGTAAAACGCGTTGCGATCTCATCGACCCAAAACAATGGTGGTGCGTTTTATTCATCCGAAACTTAAATTTTGATTACATGTTTGGTTGATGAGTCTGAGTTCACGTTCTAATTCTCTGAATCTTCTTTCTTACTGTTGCAATTTATTAAATTCTTTCTTAATATTTGTTAGTAATGTTTATTGAATTAGGTTTTTTATTATTGATTCTATTGAAAAAAAAAAAAAAAAACTAATTGAATGTTGTGTAAATTATGATCCGAGGATTTGAATTTCTGCAATTGAATGACTTATTAGAGCTTGGTTTTTAAATAGTTTACGAAGCATATATTTTAGTTTTTGTAGCTTCTGGAAGTTTTATGAGTTTGTTGGTTGTAAAAGCACGAATCAACCAAGTTTGTTGGTTGTAAAAGCACAAAGCAACTTAGTTGAGTTCTTTGTTATGTGTTATGGCCCTTTATAATGTACTCTTTAGACTTATGCTTTTGTTGGCCAGGAAGTTGTTTGTTTGGGTAGTTTTTTTTTTATGCTTGAACAGATGAACTTCCTTATTCTTGCGATATTTTAGGGAAGCTTTATGTTCTATGATAGAATGTTTGTGGAGATTATACAACTAGTCAAATTTATGGAAGGAGATTTATCCTTGTGCATATTTTTATTTATTGGACATATGAAATATTTTCAGAGTACTTTTATTTATCAAATTGATGGCTTACTTTAGTCTTACTGTCTGAATGCCAGTAAAGTTGGATCTTATTCTTTTAAATTTTTATGTTGTTTTATTTTGATAAATTTCCGATTACCATCCCAGGCAAGTCTTTATGGAGGGGCATCTAGGAAAGAAAAACCAAGAGGCCGTCATCATGGGTTAACACAGCAGAAGAAGCAAGAGATTAAGGAAGCATTTGAGCTATTTGACACAGATGGCTCAGGTATGTAGTAACTTATTATTCTATGTCTTTCATAAATATGTTTGAAACTTATTATGATTGTTTTGTCCAGGCACTATTGATGCCAAAGAGCTGAATGTTGCCATGAGGTGTGTATATACTATATAACATATGCTTAGAATTTTTAAAGCTGATTAATCATCAAGTAGTAGAACTAAAATTTTCTCATGGCAGGGCTCTTGGTTTTGAGATGACTGAAGAGGTAATTTCTATATCATAAATTATTTTCTGTTTTAACTGTTCATCTTCCCAATTAGACCTCTGTTCCTCCTAGCACGGCAGTAATGGTGGTGTTGTCCTTTTGTTTAATTGTAGCCTACAGACTTCTTGCTTGACTGACATATTATTCTTCTGTGCCATTACAGCAAATCAATCAAATGATTGCAGATGTTGACAAGGATGGAAGTGGTGCAATAGATTTTGATGAATTTGTGCATATGATGACAGCTAAATTGGTGAAAGAGACTCTAAGGAAGAGCTCATGAAAGCATTCCAGATCATTGACCAAGATAACAATGTAAATTTCTGTTAGTTTAGACCTTGAGTTTCCTACTTTGTATATAATTACTGATTCTTCAATGTGGCATGCAGGAAAGATACAGTTGAAGACATTAAGGGAATTGCAAAGGATCTGTGAGAACTTCACTGAACGAGGATAAAGGAGATGTTGAGGAAGCAGACAAAGACCGTAATTTAGCCTCCTATTTTAAACCATTACTTCTGTGATTTTTGCTTTCAACTTTGTCTTAAATGACCTGGCTCATTAAGATTGTTTACTTCTTAATTTTTAGCCAAACCCACATGTAAGGTTTCCTTTTAATCTATTTAATGTGCTCTTAAGATTCTTATTTAACTTTGTGTAATCTGGCCATTTAAAAGTTCTCTGGTCAGATCGAAGGGACATGTATGTAATATATATATATATATATTGGTGCCATTTAAGAAGAGTTGCCTCTGGGTCAATCAAAGGGACATGACATGATACTCATATATATATATATATATATTGGTGCCATTAAAGATGTTCCTTGGGTCAGATCAAAGGGCATGACTGATACTCATATTATATGACAATTTAATACTGATTTACAATTTTTGGTGACCATTCGTTTCAGAAAGTTTGACTTCGGCTGATGCAGTTAGATAAACAGTTGGTGAAGTATTGTTAGTGTGAGGCAATTTCGGAAAGACCATTAGCTGTGATGGTTAAAATAATATATCAACCCTTTCAATTTATTTATTACAAATTGAGTCATGCTAGGGTCATAACATGAAGATTGATGATAAAGTTATTTTATCAATATTTCCTTTTTTTTTTTTTTCGTCCAATAGATTTAGATTTTGAAATTTTTGCTAAGTATGATTCGGACCTAGATTGATCTGTTCTTTTTCTTCTTTTTACTATAACAATGTTTCTCTGTGTATATAGAAAGGATGGAGAGAGATTAAATTTGGATGTTAGTCTACACTATCTCCAGTCTTCTCTTATGTCTTTTCCCCTATTTTCCCTCTCAGTCTCACCCTCTTCTATCTTCTGGTTAAACATTGCATTTTTACATCTCGCAAATACAGTGTTTCATTCTTATTGCCATCGAGATCCTCTGATCGTCGATTTCTGATACAACTGTATTTTTCTGCTATTGAACACCAGCAGTAACATACTTGTTGAACTACAGTATGGTTTAGCCTGATTACTTAAGGGTTTGCTTGTCTAAAGGTGCATTTGCAGTGTTTTGGTACTGCCTAAATTGCTTCTAGATATCAAAAGCACTTTTATGCTTATTTGTGGTTTTTGGCTGCAAGAGCGAAAACCTTTTTTTAAGCAATAATGCTAAATGTACATAGTTGGGATCCCAACTTTGTATCTCAAATCTGCAATTGTTGGCAACATCTTATATGAATTACTAGGATGATGAGATAGTCAGTTAACTTCCAAATCAACTATCTAACAGGTCGGGATACAAAGCTGTGATCCCAAAGTGTTATCCTTTTGAAACTAAAGAAGTTATTACTTGCACTAATAGCTGCACTACTTCTGAGGATAGAGAAAAACTTGGGAGTGTCTTAAGAAGCCATGTGCCCTTTTGTAAACAAGTTTGTATTTTTTAGAAGCATAGGAGGTACTATAGAGCAAAGCAGTTCCTATCAGCACTCCTAAATGCACTCATAGAGAGTTCTCAGTTGGAAATCCTTAATGGTGGCTAGTTAAAGCCAGAGGCCTCACTAGTGCCGTGACTCATTCGCTTGAATAATATCTGAATGTGATGCTGGTTCATAGTTTGGGAATTGTTGGCCAAAGCCTTCTCAACCAATTGGTACTGGAATTATGTGTGTTCTGTAGGCTCTCTAGTTATCTCAATCGGTGCAAAAATTCTGGACTGGCTGGACAAACATGTTTTCTTTCATTTTCATCACAAGCAAATTTCGCTGCCGCATTTTCTGATCATTGTTTTTCATTTTATTATCAAGTCTTGTGAATTTTGAAATATCCATGTGGTCGTAGTACTAATTGCTTACATGGATGTGATTTGTTGAAATAGTAGATATAGAAGTGAGTGTTGATGAGTTTATGAGGATGATGAGGAGAACTACATACGGGTACTAGAGCCTCTGCAGAATGTTGGAGAAAGGATTGTGCCGTAGCTGTAGTATATTTTTATAAATTAAAAAAAAAAAAAATGTGCTCTAGACAAATTGTTTTTTCTTAGTGGTTTGACTTTTATTCTGTGGCAAATTTTTTATATTAATTATATGCTTGGAGTTGGACATTATTGAAGGTAACCTACGGTAATATATTAAGGTGAGTTTGAGATTGTGGTAACTTTTCTCATAATCACTTATTTTTTAAGCAATGATCTAATTTATATTTATAACGCATTTTAAGTGATTATGAAACAATCTACTTCTTTCATATATATTTTATTGAAGGATTTTAAAGCATGTATTTCTAGTTTTTAGAAATTCAATCAGCTTCAAGATATGTCAATTACTGAAATGCCCCAGAATAACATAATTCTATTTTTAGCGAGTAAATTATAATTTTTGTATAAATAATTTTTAAATTAGATTATTGAAATAAAAATAATGTTATAAACATAAAAGTAAAGTTAATTTACACTATTTTTGTAAACTCATTATATTCATATTATATCATATAAATTTTATTATATATTAAAATTAAAATAATTAAAATTTGTGTGATGTTTAATATGTAAGGTTATGGTGATAAAATTATGTAAAAAAGTGATGTAAGTGTAATTACTGTAAGTAAATTGGTTGAAGTTGTCGCCTTGTGAAGTGGTCGGAAAACTTTTTATGGTGAGTGTAATTATGCCTCTGACACTATTGTGATCACCAGTCGGGTAATCTATGCAATGGTATGGCCAGTTTGTTCAAATGAAGCAGCGATTTGTTTAGAAGTTTGGCAAAGTTTTGTCGAAATTCTTCGGCTTGTTGACGTGTGATGCTGGTTTATTTTGGCAAACTGTCGGCATCAGCGATAGATTGTCGGTCGGTGGTCTCAATGATCTTGGTGGTATGATGTCACTCGTTGAAAAAATCTTTCCGTGACAATGGCTAGAATCTTGCCAGTTTTTGGATTTTTATTTTTTTTAAGAAATTAAATTTAATATTTAAATAATAACTCAAAAAAATTATTTAAAAAAATCATTTTTGCTTTTTTGCATTAATTATATCTTATATCCTAAAATCTAAAGTAGTTTTAAAATTAAATAAAACAAACAGTTGATAAATTATTTAAAGTTAGTTTATAAGTGATAGAAAGCTATAATAATCCCAAACTAACTAATGTAATTTTCACAATTATTGTAGGATTAATTATTAACTAAGTAAAGAAATAAGGTTCAATTACGATGCCTATGCCATTTGAGAACAATTTTGACATGAATAATATTGTATTTGTACCTCCAAGTGACATATCATTGAAGTTTAATTGATAATTTGACGTGTGATGATAAGATTTTTAAAGTATATGATAATTAAAATTAATGAATGTCAGCTCTTTGGATCACAAATACGGGGCACCTGATGTGTTTTTTTTTTTTATTTTTTTTTATTCCTTATCGGAGATACCAAGACCAATTACTTATATTTAATAAATATAGCGACACTTACCATCAAACAAGGATAATTCTTAAAACCCTGAGTGGTTCTTACAGTAAAAATATTTTTTTATTCATTAATTTTTTAGGTTCGAACACCTTACAGTATCTAAATTTATGACTTATCTTGAAATATTAAGTTTATAAGATATTCAACGGACTTCAAGATTAAATGAGGTACGCGTAAACTAACTGAACACTTTTGACGTCATTAAAAAAAAAAAAATGGCCTCACATTCTTAAGAAAGGAGGTTCTTGAAGTTCATAATAGTTTCTGTTTAATCAATGAATATATTTTACAATTCTCGAAGGCTTGTAATAATCACTTTTCTGCATTTAATCTAAATATTGATACGACAAAAAATAATATAATTTATGTATGCTTTGAATTTTAATTTGAGGTTTATTAGTCCATGTAAATATTAGGACAAATCCGATATATCCCAAAAGTTTTCCAAGAACTATGAACATGGCACAAGGCAGAGTTCAGTAAACCGAGTCCGTGACTGCAATGGCGGGAAACACCACAGCTCCAAATGTAAAGCTAGCAAAAGCAATGGGTAAGAAGACAGCTTCAAAGTTCAAATCTCCAGTTCAATGGCATTATGTATCTCCTTTTTCTCTTCTACCTCGTTTCTCTACAACTCCTTTACCTCTATTTTATCATCAAAACACTCACACAACATCCACAAATAACTTTTCTCTCAATTTTATTCCGCTGTTGAAACACTGCCGCACTATTCAACACTTGAAGCCTTTGAAATCTCTCCTCATCGTCCACGGCCTACAAAAAACAAACTTTTCTTGGAGATTTTTTCAAATCTTGTTTTCATCTGGGTGCTCCAGGTCTAGCTCTCTCACATTTCAAACCATTAAACAGCCTGCATGTTCTTGCAGAATTTAATGGTCAGAAATCTTTGCAATTATGGGCTATGAAGATTTGTTATGTCTCTACATGAAGTGCCGAGTTTCGGGTTCTCATCTGATGATTTCACATTTCCTTTTGTGATTAAAGCATGTTCGTCTTCAGGGCACTTGGATTGGAAGGGAGATTCATTGTGTTGTCTTGAGAACAGGGTATGACAAAATCTTGTTATACAAACGCTTTAGTTGATTTCTTGCAAAAAATGGCGATATGGAGGCTCACGTGTATTGATTGATAGAATTCCACAACCAGATTTGGTGTCATGGAATGCTTTGATTGCTGGTTTTCCTTAAACGGGCTTCATCAAGAAGCATTTGAGACTTTCAGGCGGGCCCGGAAACGGGTTTGGAGCCTAATGTGAGCACTTGGCAAGTGTAATTCCCGTGTGCACCCGTTTGGGTTTGTTTCATATTGGTAAATCTCTTCATGGCTTTATCGTCAAATCTGGATATATGTGTGATTTGTTTTTGGCGCCTACTTTGATTTCAATGTATACCGGTGATTTTGATTTATCTACTGCTAGAAAATTGTTTATTCTGTGGTGGAAAAAAATGTTACTGTTTGGAATGCCTTGATATCTGCTTATACACAAAGCAAAAGTTTTTTGAAGCTTTTGAGATGTTCGGGGAATGGTCCGGCGCAACTGAAGCTTGTTGGTCACTTTTGTTTCCATTATTCCATCATGTGGGGTTATAGTTTGCATTGATTATGGTGAATCCTTCATGCTTGTGCAGTAAAGCATGGATTAGAAATCAGCTTTCTGTGTCAACAGCGTTCTTATCAATGTATGCGAAGTTTGAAATCTTGATTCGGCAAGTTCTTATTTGATCAGGTCGCGATTAGAAACCTGTTGTCATATAATGCAATGATTTCTGGGTGCGTGAGTAATGGGCTATGGGATGCAAGTTTAGCTTTATTTCGGACATAAGATTGAAGGGTTCAACCCGGACGCAGTCTCCCTTATCAGTGTCATTTCAGCTTGCTCCAAACTAGAGGTCATTTTGCTGGGTAAATCTGTCCATGCATTTAGTCTAAGAAATGGTTTACACTCAAACATTGATGTTTCAAATGCACTCCTGATGTTTTACTCTGATTGTGATCAACTATCCTATTCTTTTAAGCTATTTCACAGAATGCCTTTAAGAAATGCTGTGTCATGGAATACTTTAATATCTGGATGCATACATAGTGGAAAAACTGAAGAGGCAACTATCCTTCTTGAGCAAATGCAGAAAGAGGGAGCAGAGTTGGACATGGTTACCCTGATAAGCATTATCCCTTGTTTCAGTGAGAGTGAAAATTTAAAGCAAGGAATGGCTATTCATGGTTATGCTGTAAAAACTGGGTATGCTTCCGATGTTTCTTTAGCGAATGCACTAATTACCATGTATTGTAACTGTGGAAATCTTAGTGATGGGAGGCTACTCTTTGAAGTCATGTATGAGAGGAATCTGGTATCGTGGAATTCTCTGATTACTGGATGTCGATATCACAACTTGCAGAATGAGGTTTTGGTCTTGTTCAGAGAAATGAGAAGGGAGGGTCAGAGGCCAAATCATGTAAGCTTGCTAAATTTGTTGCCTGTATGCCGTACTGAGGTGCAGGGTAAATCTATACATGCTTTTGCAATTAGAACAGGATTTGTCCAAGAAACTCCTCTTCTTACATCTCTTATATTCATGTATAATAGATTTGAAAACACAAAACTGAGTCTCTTAATTTTTCAAATGGGGGACAAGAGGGCTATTTCTTTGTGGAATGCTATTATGTCTGTGCATATCCAAAAAAGAAATGCCAAACAAGTAGTTGCTTTCTTCAATGAATTGTTACTCATGGACTTGGAACCCGATAAAGTAACAGTTATAAGTTTAATTTCAGCATCTGTTCAATTAAATAGCCTCAATCTTGCTCATTCTGTTATGGCTTGGGTGATACAGAAGGGCTTTGATAAGGATGTGGCTGTCAGCAATGCCCTCATAGATTTATATGTAAGATGTGGAAACATTTCTTTTGCAGTAAAGCTATTTGAAAGCTTGGTTGAAAAGGATCCTGTTTCTTGGGGTATAATGATTAATGGGTATGGATTGCATGGGGATGCTGAGGCTGCCCTTGATCTTTTTGTGCAGATGCAACTTTCTGGGTTGAGACCAAATGAAATTATCTATTCAAGTATACTATCAGCTTGCAGCCATGCAGGTTTAGTTGGGCAAAGCCAGTTGGTGTTTAACTCTATGGTAGGACATGGCATATCACCAAGAATGGAGCACTACGCGTTTATTGTAGACCTTCTTGGAAGAGCTGGTTACTTGAATGAGGCATTTGACAAAGTTAAGCTACTTCCCTTTAAACCCTCTGTAAGCCTGCTTAAATCATTGTTGGGTGCTTGTAGAGTCCATGGCAACGTTGAACTTGGAGAAAAAATTAGTGAGATGCTGTTTGAAATTGACCCAGAAAATTCAGGATCATACGTCACGCTTCACAATATCTATGCATCAGCAGGAAAGTGGGAAGATGCCAATAGAGTGAGGTCTGAAATGGAACAAAAACGATTAAAAAAAATGCCTGGTTTTAGTCTTGTGGGAGACGGGCAGTTTTCATAAAGTATCATAGGGATAAAGGAGCAACGGTTTAGCAGTGCCATTCCTGTGAAAAGGAGCCTTTCTCTGTACATAACCCTCACGTAATACTGAGCGTTCTCAGGAGAAGCCCGCCTGAACCCCGGCAGGAACATTTATTCCAATGAAGCGGCTTTACAGTACAATTGGAGATGTTATGATCTAAGGGCTAAATCATTGGATTGTCAGTTTGAGAATTGAGACTACGTAACTAGAAGTCCCATGAAGCGATGAGGGGTTTATTTGATTTATAACCTCTATTCGTGTGTTTTAGGGCAAATGTTAAAAGCCTAAAGGTAACAGAAAACAAAAAGTTCTTTTATTTTGATGCATGTTATATACAAGAGCATCTACGATGCTCTCTTAAATATAACATCTTTTATATAAATAAAAAATATTTTTATTAATTTTTAAATATAAAGTATAAAATTTTTATTCAAATTTAATAGACTCTTTAAATTTTAGAAAAGAGAATATGTTTTTTTCAATAAAAAAACTTAATAGGAGAGATAAATAATAAATAAAATACATAGAAACTTATGATTTATTATTTAAAATTAACATAAAGAGTGAAATTTGACTCTCTAAAAATGGAGAATCAAACCCACTCTTTAATTTATATTTAAAGAATAAATTGTCTGTTAGAACATCTCTAAAAGATTTTTTATATGACACAAATTTTTTATTATAAAGAGTTTATCCATAAAAATAAGAGTTTAACAACTCTTTATATTTAAAATATAAATTAGAGAGTGAGTTTGATTATTTACATTTAGAGAGTTAAATTTCACTCTCTATCTCTAATTTTAATTAATAAATTAAAAGTTTTTATATATTTTATTTATTAATTCTCTCTCCTATTAAGTCTATTTCTTAAAAATAAAGAGTATCTTCATTAAATTTAAAGAGTCTATTGAATTTGAATAAAAATTGTGTTCTTTATATATAAAAATTAATGAAGAGCATCATTGGAGATACTTTTAAACTTTTATTTTTATAAATAAATTTTATATAATAAAGAATTTGAGTGAAATAAAAAGTCTACAAAAAGAAAAAACACAAATTTTAACGTATTGAAATACTAAATTTTTTTTTGTCCTTTTAACATCCTTAAATGTGAGATAACCTTCTTTTATTTCTAACCTTATTCAAATGTCAAATACAACCCATTTAATAAAATATCGTGTAACATGACAGTTTGGGAGATTTTGTTACAGGAATTTTGTTTTGCACAATGGTGTTGCAAATCATAGTACTTCACATGGAGTTAAATCCAGTTAATCACTTCGGAGGAGATCATTTAGCAATTTGCTGCTAAGAACAGCAAGAGACATTGACGTAGTCATAGTGTGAAAAGAGAAAAACCAATCATTATGGTGGGTACAATGTGGATTAGGGTATGAAAGAATTATTTGTCGAAAATTTCAGATTGTACGATACGTATGAGAATGACCAAGAAGCATGGATATAGTGGAAGGGGCGGTGAAGAATGCGGCGGGGCGTGAAACAATCGATCGCCGAGTGGAGGTGAAAGGGCAACAGCCAAGCTGAAGTTGCCATGAAGGGAGGGCTTTTCTTGACAAAAGCATCAGTTATTGGTTAGAAGGACGACAATGGTTACGGTCATGGCGACGGAGAAAGGTCAACAATTTATCTAATTACACAAGAGCCAACGACTAATAACCCGAAGTTTGGGGAAATCCCAAGTTAATACGGTGGTTCAATTTATCCCGTTTGCCACTCTAATCTAACAGTGTTAATAACGGATGGATCTGATACAGTGACATGAGTTCAATGACTGAAATACCCTTGAACCTTTGACTTTAGATTATTTAACAAAATAAATCTAAATAGACTGTAAAAAACCAAAAATGCCTATATTTGTTTATTTTCCAATAGTGAAATTACCCTAATGGCCCTAAACGTTTGAAAGTTCAGCAACAATTGTTTGATGTTGAGGTTAACTGTATAGGCAAAGTAATATTTCTTAAAAATTGGCATACATCCTGAAAAGTTTCAAGTTTGAACACAAAAAACCTACACAAAACAACATCAAAGATCATACTAAAACATACATACTGAGAAAAAACTTTTGCATTGAACATATATATGAAAATACATAATTGGCCTTGAAATGTGATGATCAACAGCCCCAAAAACAGAAAATTAAAGTGCATATTACATCAAAAATACCACTGCAGCAGTCCATAATCAATTTCAACATTCACAACAGACAACCTAAATCAGTTGCATCTGTACAATATTATACACCATATTTGCAGCTTGCACGCCAAGACTAAAAAAAGTCCTATGTACAACTTCCCCAGATTTCACCAAAAACAACAGCATACTTCACTCCACACATCCAAAAAAAACCAAAATCATGCTTCTTACAGTTTTAACACACCCAAAAACAAAAACAAGCTTCAACTCCACACTCCTTAAGTACCTGAAAAAAAATCATAAAATCAATTAAGGGGTGCCCTTGACAGTTTGAAGCAATGTCACATGTTTAAATTTGAAGGACTGATGTTACACTAACCTGCTACCTTGACAGTGCTCAATGTTGACATGTCTAACTTGTGGGGCTGATGAAGCTTCTCCTCTCTAACAAAGCAATGAAAACAATGTAATGCAAGCAAATTCTATTACAAAAACAATACAATCATGTTAAATAAAAGCTGTAAATACCCTTTGATTCTTGTGTTGAATGTTTTGTGGGCAGCGTCTTGTTATGTCCTAAAGTTCGACAGATCCCACACCTAAGTGTTGCAACTTTGGGCATCCCTGGTTCTTCCTCAGCATCCTTTTTTCTGGCCTTTTTGGGCCTCCCAACCTGCTATGTTTGATAGGTGGATTCAGCGCCTACCCCAAGCAAGTCCGGCCAAACTAGTGGGTCAGGTATGGGGTGAATGTGATCAGCATATGTTTTTACGTATGAAGTGATCCTTATGAAGAGTCCACATACTCCTCATTCTAATGTTCCTAAAAAGCAAACAGCGGACTGCATGCACACAGGGACTCCAGAAAGTTGCCACATTCCACAGTCACAGTTTGAGATTGAAGGTTTAATATGTACGTCTACAGGAAGGCAGTTGTCACACCACTTCAAACTCATCACTCCCAGGCCAAATAGCTTAATATTCCTAGCAGACTCAAAAACCATTGATTTCCTATGTACAACAGGGGGAACAGTTGTGACCCAATCATCCATCGCTTTGCCCTAGCTGCATCACCATAAACCCCCTCCTATAAGCTCTAACAAGTTAGTATGGGTAATTCTCTATTTCCCCAACCAGCTAAAAGACTTCACACATGTTATTTGTAACATGATCAGATTGGAATCAAGGTCGAATGCATGCCTTGACCAGGATCTACATCATTCAACATCCACTATGAGCTTCTCTATCAACAGCTTCAACCTTTCTATGGCTGCTGAAAATCAATGATATTGGCAGCCCTACTAACAGCCCAAAACAAGTTTCTTAACCTCAACCCAGGGAATTTTTTCCTAAAGTTTATAAACATGCCTAGCACAATGTCTAACTAGCATTTGGCAACAAGTCTGTATAGCATCCACCAAACCCTTTGCCTATCACTCATGATAGTGATAGGGTCAATGTCCCTATAAACTCCTTCAACAAGGTCCTAAAGTATCTCCATGATTCCTTGTTTTCTATCTCACAAATGGTAATTGCTACTGGGAAAATGCCACTGGTAGCATCCATAGAAACTGCGTAATAGTACTCCACCATAAGGCCCTTTAAGATGGCAACCATCCACACCTATAAAATGCCAAAACCCTCTATAAACCCCCTTCTTTTGTGCTGCAAATCCTAGGAAACACCCTGAAAGTTTGGAATCCCTTCTGGACTAACAGATTTCACATATACATGGAACCTGGGTTGGTATGTTTGACAATGTGCTATTTCAACAAACCAGTAAAGGAATGAGGGAGCTTGTGTGACTCCCTGCCAGCTGATTAGCTCAAAAGTTTGGATCAGACAATGTAGAGTGTAGGTCCTACCAACTCGCTACCAAGGCTTAAGATGACCCTTGGGACTGATGAAGTCTCATATTTTGACCACCAAGCCGTTGTTGCCTCTCTATTATTATAAACCCTCGTGCATGTATGTGAGTGCCTATACTCCAATCTGAAAAGACACATCAAGGCATCAAACAGCATATAGATGAAATGGACAGTTTGTTTGCTTACATTTAGCCTTAAACTTTTTCTCTCATTGTGAATCTTCCTAACAGAAAACCCCCTCTGATTACATAATCTCGAAACACCTTCCTAAAGTGATCAACTCCCTCAACACTTGAAACTTTGAAGTGGATTTTCCCATTATCCCATATGCAAACTGTTGAACCTTCAGTGCTGCTAAACCTAGTTACTGCATCTTCATCATCAGTAGAACCCTTCATATGAACTGTCCTCATGGTATTCAGAAATTTCCTCTGAACTTCAATGTCCTCACCCCACCACTACCTTGCCCAGTTTGATTTCTCTACACACCACTACCTTGCCAGTTGATTTCCTACAACCACCACTTCTGCCAATTCAATCCCTTTACCACCCCACTTTCTGTCAGTTTCCATTCCTTCAACACCCACTTCCCTGTCCATCCTGCCCAATCTCATGGTCTTCTTCATGATCACTTTCAACACTCCAATAGAACTCATCTGGAATATCCTCTTCAGCTTCCTATTATCCTGCCTTACAAAACCCTCATTGTCCTCTGGTTGGGTTCTAATAAAGTTCTAGGTTCAACAAAGTCCACTGGTATGGTTCTACAGAGACTCTATCACTCGCTTGCCAAAACTCTTATATTGCTCAAAATGAATTCCATATCATCATCCCCTTCCACTATGTATCTAGCCCCTGACAAGGGTAGCTCAACCTCTACCTTAAACTTCTCAAAGGGTCATTTCGACAACCTCATTCTCCGAAGCCACACATCGTTTCACATCTTTAATAAAACATATTATAACTATACTCATCCGGATCAACATTTAATATTTCATATTCTAAATTAAACACTTCAACTTAAAGTCATAGGAATTTGGTTTAAGCCTGCATAAACAAACACAACCAAGCAATTATAAACAAAAATCAACTGCCACCACCCTACCACCACCCAAGGTACGTGGCATGGTACAACAGAGTCGTCAACCACTGATGGCAGCATTTAAGACGGTTACTGGTTTCCAGCCAATATACCAAAAATTCCCCAACGCCACTATAAAAAATCAACTGCACCAACCCTACAACAGCCATCACCACCCTACCACCACCAAGGTACGTGGCATGTTACACCAGATGTCGTCAACCACTGCAGGCAGCATTTAAGACAGTTACTGGTTTCAGCCAATACCAAAAAAATCACCCTAACGCCACCATCAACTCTACCACCACTATACCACCATACACACACCACCACCAATATAACAGTGCCATGCAACACCAAATCCTAAACCCCCAACACCAAAACTTTAACCCTAACACCACTGTCAACTACACCACATATATCACCATATACACACAACAACAAATCACTACTGCCATGCAACACCAATATCCTAAACCACACTACACCAAAACCTAACCGTAGTCTTAAAGCCTATACTACCACCATCACCATCTACCACCACCAACAACCACCCTAACGCCATTATACAATCACCGTCACCAACGACCACCAACATACCCCCCTTGAACCACCAAACATGCACCACTAATCCATCAACCACCACCCATAACCACTAACGCCACCACCCCAACCCTTACACCAACTTGTTGTACAATACCCAGACACATAGTCAAACACGCAAATTCCCACCACACCCCGTGTTTTTCCCCAGTCATTAACTCCACAACATTCAAAGTCGCATATACAACGGTAGAAAGACTACCCGTAGCCCGTATAAATCAGTCGATACTAGCCACTTGTGCACCGACCAGATCCCATCGCCATCCTCCGCACCCGCCGCACTGGGTTTTTTGGCCTTTCCACACGTTTTTTTGCTACGCATTGATTGCTCCTCGTGTCTATTTGTGTGTTGCGCCGAGACTTTCTTTGCTCTCTGTTTCAGGCCTTTGCTACTTCCTCCCACCGGGTGTGCTCCTGTGTCGCCTTAGTCCATTGCAACCGGCCCACGATAGGTGTCCCCCCCGCCTTCGTCGTCTTGGACAGTGTGTCCCCAGTTAATGTGCCGTCCGAGGTTTGAGTTGTCCGCCTCGTTTCTTTAGGACGTAGTCTGACGCGCAGAAATTACCCACTCATAATGGACAAGGATTCCTCTACTCCCCTGAGGTAGATAGGATTCCACGTTCGTTCGCCCTTCGATCTCTGTGGTACGGGCAAGAGGAGGTCAAAGGAGGTATTAGATGCGCGGGAATTGTCGATTGTATGAGTTCAGGTGACATGTATGTTGAGTGGGTTAATATGTGCGTTAGTTGTCTAGAAGACTCTATTCCCCCCCCCCCCCCCCGTCTTTGACTTCGTGTTCGCTTTTTCCCTTGTCGCTTGTACCAACTGCCGGCATCTGAATCGTGCTCGGGAGGGAACACACGAACCATCATATCTGAGCCCCGACAGAAACGCTACTCCCCCTGTGACACCCAGAGTACCCCCCTGTATTTCTCCCCTGTAGACAACTATTTTAGTAATTCTCACCCCCTCAATCACACTTTCTCTCTGGAACATTTGGACGTCCATATACCACTCCATATTAGCCGTCCCTTCTACCCTCGATACCTCCTTTTACCAGCAGTGGCATTACCCAAGTGCCTACGGCTTCCCCTTTATTGTACTTTTTTATTATTTTGCAATTTAATTGGAACATGTCCTAGGCTTCTTTATTATTTGAATTAATTTATCTTAAATGTCGTTTTTACCCTTTTGTTGTTAAAACTAAGTGAACGGTGTTAGATTAAGAGTGGTAAAACGGGATAAATTGAACCAACCGTATTAACTTGGGATTTCCCCAAACTTCGGGTGGGATTATGTCGTTTGCTCATTACACAATATGATATTTGTGTTCCGTGCTAGTGCCACCACACAATTTAGTCAACACTGTTTCAAAACACTGTTTTTTGTTGTACATGTCGGGCCCTTCAATCCAGCTCATCTTTGGAATGATAGATGCTTGTTTGAAGTATTCATATTCAAATATATATTAAGATCAAACTATTATTATTATCACTGATTTTAATTTCAAAATTTTATTTTAGAAAGTGATAGGTAGTCCCAAGATATGAATCCAAGAACTCATTTCGCCAATCTCTTGAGGTTACTTAACTTGATATTTATTAAACACTTTAAGTGATAATTACTTTGTTTTATAACAAAAAGACACAACTGATTATATTTATTTTTGTGGTCAAATAATATGTAAAAGCTTATCATTATCAATATACATATAATATATACAGAATTATAAGTTCCGTATTTCAGATAAATATTATATAAGTTACATACATCTATATTAAAATTGGCTGACGGACTTAGTACTTGCATGGTTTTAAAACATGGCCTGACCCGACTGGTTGAAACGATTCGACCGGAAAATGATGGCTAGACTAGGTTAGTTCATGATAAAAATCAGAAATAGTAATTGATCAGCTTCCACCCGCGATTGAACATATTTTTTTCGAACGAACCACCGGTATAACCCGGGTTGTTACAGTAAGATATTAAAAAATAATTAAAAATTAAAAATAATAAAATTAAAAGTAACCCTTTTAAGCTTTTCTCTTCTCCATACCCCATTTTTATTCGATAAAACCAACACCAGCAGAAAAAAAAATAAAAAAAAAAACCCATTAAAAATTAAAAATTGCATTTTTTTTTAATTTTTTGTTTTTTTGTTGACGTCATGAATGGCTTCATGGTCAGATCCACCGGTCAGACCTTTCGACCCATAAAACCTGTGACCCAATGGCTTGGCCGGGTTGCCCCACGGGTTGGATTTTAAAACCTTGCTTAATAGAATATGTTTACGTACATTTAATTTGAATTTGATTAATTAATCACGTGTCATAAATGACATAATGTAGTATATAGACAAGATTGTGTCTCATAAGGGCAACTCCAACCCTGTGTTATTTTAGTGTAAAAACACCAAAATAATGCAAATTTCAACTCCAACCCAACGCTATTTGCTGCACCAATTTGGTGCCCTGCTATAGTGCCATGCCAAATTTGGTGTAACATTGTTCATACACACCAATTTGGAGTGGCACTATTCAAACAGTAATTTTTTTATTATTATTTGTATTTAAGTTAATTTGATTATTATTTATAATAATAAATTCATAATAATTATATAATTAAAAAAATGATGAAAAATTAAAAACAAAACTTTATTAAATGTAAATATTAAACTACAATAACTCAAAATAAAAATTAACACTAATTTAAAAACACTAAAATTAAAAGAAAATATAAAATAAACTAAAATAACAATTTAGTATTTCAGTAGATTAGTTCAAGATCCTTTAAGATCATCAAAATATTGATAAGAGCTAGAGTTATTTTGAGATCTTTGACCTTATTGTTAAGCTCTTTTTTGCATAATTTTTTATTGCTCATTTTGAAAAAACTCATGCAGGCTTGGATCGGCTATGGAATTCAAATCCTTGAATAAAATTTTGTTATCTTCTCGATATTCTACCAAATCAAGAATACAGAGGCTCACCATGCTCTTCGAAATGCATTAGTTGATTATTTGTGGGAAGAATATGCTAATTCGGAAAATTAAATTACTCTCAATATAGAATTTTACTTTTGTGTTGTTGTTGTCTTTTTTTTTTTTTTTTTTTTTGGTATCATTTTATATTAGATGTAACGTTTTTCTATATTAAATGTAATGTCTATTTAATTAAATAAACACTTAATTTTATTAAATTAGTATAATTTTTAAAGTAATTATTATTTAATAAAAATATCATTCATAATATTTAATTAATATATACAAAAATTGTGAGTGAAATAAATTAATTGTTGATTATTACAATAAAAGAAAAAGAAAAAAAATATTTTTTTAGTATAATATTTAATACAATAAATTAGTGATAAATAGTGTTTCACACCCAAAAAAAAAATAAATAATAATAATAAAATAAATAAATAAAATGTCAAACTTGCACCAATTTGGAGATGATGTAAGTACGAAAAAAGTTTTCGGCGATTTTGACTTAGTGTAGAAAGTAAACCCCAACGAGATCACATCATACCACCTGGCAAACAGTCTCTGTGTCTAATCAGCGCACAGCTAGCAGCCAGGTAGATTCTCCCCTTCCCCTATAAGAACCCGCACTCTTTCATTTCTCCCTCCACAATGATTCTGTTTGTCTTGTTTTACGAAAGATGGAGCAGCCCTCCAAAAAACTAAAACTGGAAGCTGAACGACTTCGAGCAGAAAAAGAACACGATATCATTGTCTCTGCTCTTAAACACGTAATCACAGACGACATTCAAAGTAACAACCACGATGAACTCTTATACACAATGTTACCTCTGCCTCCAGATAGTGAAACGTGTCAGGTATGCAAAATCAAGGGCTGTCTCGGCTGCAATCTTTTTCTGGCTACTGAAGAGGATAAAAATGTAGTACAGGAGGACACGAGTAAGAAGAAGATCAAGTACAGGGGGGTTAGGCAGAGGCCATCGGGCAAATGGGCTGCTGAAATTTGGGAACCATCACGAGTTGAACGGGTGTGGCTTGGCACGTTCGAGACGGACGAGGCTGCTGCTAGGGCTTATGATAAGGCAGCCATTGAATTTCGTCACTTGCGTGGACTTAAAACCAAGCTTAATTTTCCGTTGTCCGACTACAATGTGGATCAATTCAACCAGGGAACTTGAGCAAATGAATACAGATTCATGAAGCTAACTAATTAATGAGATAGTGAGCAACTTACCGACACCATGGAAATGGAAGCAGCGTTTTAGAAAATTAGAGGCGAGAGTTTGGATTTGAATGGTGACCAGATGAGCTAAGATATTAGAGTCTGATAGGGAGAGTGAACTCCTTTAAGTAATGTAAATCTCCAACGAAGAGTCTAGTATTAGTCCAGACTTCAGATTTTTTGTTTCTTGCTAAGTTGGCAGTGACTTAAACAGTGTAAGAACCATTTTATTTATTTATTTATTTATTATGAGTTCTATTTTAACGTGGAATAAGCATCGCAACTGAAAAGCGTGGGTTGGGTGAATGGGAAAAAGATTTCTCCGTTGCATCGGAAAAGCAATACAAGAGAAAGAAATACAGGAAATGAGTAAGAGTAACCAATGAATTCAATTTTGTGTGTGTATATATTTATCATTGATTAATGGAATCATCGAAGTTGGCCCCACCTTTTTGCCCTTAGCCGAAAACATGTGTGGACAGAATCAATCGATGAACAATTCTTATCTTGTCATTCTTGAATCAATTCACACAGGTTTTTTTTTTTTTTTTTTTTTTTTTTTTTTTTTTTTTTTTTTTTTTGGTTCTTTTAAAACTGAACATGGATTTTGTTGTTTTTATATGGTAAAAAGTTTGTCTTCGAAAAGAGAACTCATCACATCGTCATGTAAGTTTTACTCTTCGGGAAGATTTCTAAACAATAAAGCCCCTGATTTTTTGTTAAATCATTAACACGCACCACTCGGGTTTACGACGTTATTACCACGTTAGTTTAAGTTATATAGCATTGGTCCGAAATAATTTTACCCTGCTATATAAAATTTCTTCACTAAGGGAACTTTTTTTTAACTCTCTAATCTTCATCTTTCCATCTGTCATTGCAAACCCTAATCCAAACTCTTCTTCATCTCTCCCCCTTTTTACGTTTAATCACGCCCAGTTCTTTATTTTCTGGGTAACCTAACCTACAGTTTGCATACAGTACAAAAACGGAGATCAGTTCAACAGCACAATAAATAAAAAAAGAAACTAGCTAAGATTATGTTATTAAACTTTTCATTACTGCCAATTATATAATAAAAAACAAACGGATCTGCGTTTCTATGGGCTGAGATCGATGTGTAGTATAAGAAGAGAAAAGAATATGAGAAAGAAGAGGGAAAAAATGGCGAAGGATAAAGAGAATTAGAAAAGGAAGGTGAGGTTAAAAAGAGAAGAGACACACACAGTCACGCAGAGGAGAAAAAATTGGTGGAGACTCTGAGATAAGAGAGATAGGGAGAGGAAAACCTGATTTGGATTTTTAATTTTAATTGTATTCTCAGTCGTTAAGTTTAGCAAACGTTTAATCAACGTGAGGGGTGTTCAATAATTGACTACGACATTGACATTTTGACATGATAGCTCGAATCATAACCTTCTCGAAACACTTCAATAACTCAATAGTAGTACTATATTTGTTGATAAATCTGCATCAACTTCAGTGATTCATCAACTTTGGTAGCATCGTAATTAGTGTGTACGTGATTACAGATAATTAACAATGAACGGATGATAAATGTAAAGAAGAAGATGACACAAAGCTTTTTAAAGTGGTTCGGCGAGATAAACTCTTAAGCTTAAGTCCACTATTCTTTATATTTGCTATGTGAGCATACATACTAAGTTCTACCAGAATTTCCTATCCTCTTTTTCATCATTTGAAGGAGTTTATATACAAATTTGCATAAGAAGCAAGAGCGAAATTAAAGAGATTACAATTAGATTGAAATGTAACTTTGATATTCTCGCGATTGGGCACTGTGATTGTGCAAGGATTGCTGTCAATTTGATCATTCCCATAATATCTGGGATTTGAAGTTATCCGGGAATTGATTGAATGATTATTCAGATTGTTAGCAACTAGCTTGTGCTGGTTGAACTATACCTCAACGAGCTTATACTGGGTTGGACAACCGGTAGAGTTAGATTGATTCTGGGTTGAGCTAGCTACTACCTCGCAACTCCCCAAGCTTGGTGAAAAAATCACACATAACATCTGCCCCCTAGTATTTGATGCTCGTTTCGAGCTTCGAAGACTATTATTCGATTTGACATCGAGCAATCAAAACAAAGGATACATGACGATCACAACACACTTTATCGACAACAATTAGGTCTTACAAAGTTGACTCATAATGTATTATCTTTTAAGGTTTTATCATTCTTATTTTTTAATACAATTTTTCTAGCTATATTAATATTATTTTTTATGTATAATTAATGTTACAGATTTGTATATGTGCCTTGCCCACATACTAGAGATGTGCTTGCTGCGGCATTGATGGACTACCTTTATGAGTAGAATATTGATAGAAAGTTGTCAACATTGACGCTTGATAACTGCTCCACTAATGATGCAGTTGTGAAAGATATCTTGAACGACTTCCAAGTGCCTCACTTATGCTACGTGGTTCATTGTTTCATATGCGTTGTTGTGCGTATGTTCTTAATCTAATTGTTCAAGACGGATTATCGATGATTGGACAAGTAAATTGGAAGAATATGTGAGAGTGTTGCTTATTGGTCAGCATCTCCTAAAAGAGAGCAAAAATTTGTTGAAGCATCACGTCAAGAAGGCATTGAAAGTACAAAGAAGTTGGCTCTTGAGTGTAAGACTCATTGGAACTCAACTTATTTAATGCTTGAAACTGCTTTCATTTACAAAGATGTGTTTTTTGGTTTAAAGCTTCGTGAGCCACAATATAGACGTTTGCCAACTAAGGAGGAATGGGAGTTGGCAGAACAAGTTTGTTCAAAGTTAAAAATATTTTATGTTGCCACAAACTTGTTCTCTGGAACAAAATATCCGACGTCTAATATTTATTGCCCAAAAGTTTGTGAAATTAGAATTGCATTGTTTAGCTGGCTCATATGTGTGAATGATTTGATAAGGAATATGGCAGCAAAAATGCTTGAAAAATTTAGCAAGTATGGGGATGTGATTCACGATGTCTTGGGGGTAGCAAGTCTTTTAGATCCTAGATACAAAATAAAATCGTTAGATTATTTTTTTCCTTGGATCTATGGAGTTGATGATAAATATTATATTATGAGAATTCAAGGATTTTTATCAGATTTATATAATCAGTACCAATCTAGGCAAGGAAGCAGTCAACCTCCTTCTAATGCAGCACCTTCTGTTCGGACTAATATTCCTTGTAGTGAGAAGGACAGGTCTGTTAGTGACTCTGAGATGTATATTGCACAAGAATAAAATGTTATCGAAGGAAAGTCAAAACTGGATTTTTATTTAGAGGAGAAACGTTTGCCTGGGACTTCTAACTTTGACATATTGGTTTGGTGGAAGGCAAATGGGCCTAAATATCCAATCCTCTATTCTATTGCTTGAGACATCTCTGCTATTCTTGTCTCCACAGTCGCTTCTGAGTCTATATTTAGCACGAGTGGGAAGGTAGTAAGCCCACATCGTAACAAACTTCATTCAGATACATTAAAAGCATTGATGTGTGCTCAAAATTGGTTATAGCGGATATAAAAGGTGATTATATCAATATTTTATTTCTTTAACATATTTGTCTTATTGTCTTTAATGTATATTTTTTTATTTCTTTAACATATTTGTCTTATTGTTTTTAATGTATATTTTTTATTTCTTTATCGTATTTGTCTTATTATCTTTAATGTATATTTTGTATTCTTATTAGGTCAACAATCATGCTTGACATTTTTTGATGACACTGATGAGGAAGAAGAGGAATTATGATTAGTCTTTTATGTGTTGCATGCTTCTTATGTATTTTATAATTACAGAGAGGTGGACTTACCCGACTGGAGTTTCAAAACTTAAGGAGACAACAACTTAGAAATTTGTGATAGATTTTATTGTTTTGTATTTGTTCAGATTTTATTGTCTCAATTTGATTGTTGCTCTTATGGTTATGTTATACTCTAAAAATGGATGAATGCACTTTGTCGAATGTTATTTATATATTTGGTAAGTATTCAAAAGTAAATTAATATTTAAAAACTGTTTCTATAATAAAAAATATATAAACAAAAAAATTGAAATTTATTAATATTTAAAAATTGACATTATAAAAATAGGGGGGCTTGGACCAGGCCTAAGGTTATAAAAAGCCCATCAAGTCGGGCTTGGGCTTTGTCTATCATACCTGTGGCGGGCTCGGGCCTGGGCCTAGGCCAAAGGGTACCCGATCCCAGCCCGACCCATTGCCATCACTACCGAGGAATTCGTCATGTGCAGGGGCGGACCCAACCCCTTGGGCCCACCCTCACATTTAAAAAAAAAAAAAAAAATTGTTTATATAAACCTATAAAAAAATTCTATTAATGTATATATCCAGACCTACTTTCAGATTTAAAAAAAAAAAAAAGAGAAATATTATACATATGTCCATATTCATAAAAAACTTGATATTAATATATATATATATTCCAAGCCTATATCATATTAAAAGTTTAAAACCTTCTCCACTCTTTTCTAGATCCACCAGTTTTTTATGATTTTATCCCTAAAATTCTTTACTCTCTCATTCTTCGTTTCACTTTTTCTATATTATTCGTTCTTAAAACTTTTGAAGACTGAAATTGTTGAAGCTTTCACTAATCAAAGTGCCACAATTAGCTTCGTTTTCTGTTTTATCAATTTTAGATATGTGTATTGCTCATTTTATTTTAGTTTATTTTAGAGTTGAATCATGCTTATTTTTTGAAGGTTTTTTTATTCTAATTTTATGGAAAAAGACATGGATCTTGTGAATTTGTTTTGTGTTTTGTTTTTAAGAATGTTTCTGCTTTCCCAAATTAAACTTTAACTATATTTTACTGAATGTTATTCTTCACCATTCACCCATCACTTTCCTACATTTCAAACATTACCGTTTGGTTGCTCAAAATTATTAAAGAAGTTTGAGTTATTATCTATGTTTATACTAAGAAAAATTTCCTTTTTTTTTATTAATTCATATTAAAAGTCAAGGCAACGTTGATTTAATTTAAGTTTTGATTGACTTTAGCTTAGACTAGGTCAGATCAAAGTCATGAAAATTTATATTATAATCTTTGAAAGCCAAAAAAAACGAAAAAAAAAAAAGAGAAATAAAAAATTTGTGTAGAACATTTTTGGTGGATTATGATTGTTGTAAACTCTTTTGATTATATTGGATTTAAGTGGATCATTAGATTCCCGTGGTCTTTTGCTCTCTTTAATTTAGAGGTTTTTCCACGTAAAAATTTTCTTATGTTTCCTCGTGAATTGGATGTTATTTTCAATATAATTTGCTCAAGGTTTTGCTTCTCATAGATTTATTCAAGTAGTAAAGTTTTGTGTTATTGCATTATTTTCTTTCAGATTATTGATATTGTATTATTTCCTTTGCTTAAGGTTTGATATTTTTTACAAGTTTTCACTACTTGTTTGACAAACAATAGCAGAACCGCGGAGGCCCCCCCTGGGCAAAAATCCTGGGTCCGCGAACTCATACGTCATAATCATAGGTCTGTATATAGCATATATGATTGCCGATTTGGGCGAGCCATCCGTCGAGGAGCTTATCCACCTGTATAGACTAAAGAAAGGGCAAGACCAAACATACTACCTTTCCAAGGCGAGGAAGATACGTTTCATGATGGCATGGATTTGAGTTTTTATATACATATTTAATGATCTATGCATAATTTGATACTTGATGGATAGTTTCTTTGTATTGATACATATATTATATGAATCAAACTTTATTCATATAAAACTTGATATAAATATTTGAAAATGAAATTGAAGATGATCCGCAGAAACTCAACATGATTGGACTAATGTACTCAAAGAGAATCAATGTGAAGATTAGGGAAATTTTTACACATTAAGACCAACTTTTTAAGTAAAGGTGTTGTGGCAAAACAAAACCACATCAGACAGTAAGCTACCTGGAAATCTGAGGATTCATCCCAAATGATAGGTTCAAGGTTTAGACTATTCTCCACATCTTCTGAATATTATCTACATGCTAATAAATAAAAAATATATAAACAAAAAGAAGAAGAAGAATATCTTTTTCAAAGCATTTCCAATCAACATTTTCTCTTTTATGAAACAAAAATTGAAGTTGAAGCTCAAAATTTTGTACTCTCTCACAGGTGATTTACTCATTCGATTTATATGGAATCTTATTCCGGCTATTTAAGTTCATTGTGAATTTTGTAGGAATTACTCATTCCGTATCAAATCTTCGTAGATAATTAGGTGATGGCTACTACAAAACGGCAAATCATTGATTGATCTCTTTACGGGGTTAACAAAGATTGTTACCACGTAAAAAATTGCCACCACGTTCATGTGTCCATCTTTTCTCAAAGCTTATGTGTTCGCCCATTAAGAAAAAATTGTGTTTATGAAAAGAATAGAGAAAATGCAAAAGAGGAGAGAAAAAAATAATTGTTTAATCAAAAGTTTAAAATTTAATATAAAATGTGGGGCCACGTTTCTCTCTCCCACATGGTTTCCTCTCGTCTTTGTCTTAAAAATTGGCCGAACGATATTTACCTAATCATAGTTGAGTAATGCTACTGATGGATGCCAACCAAATTTATTTATGGAATGACATAACACAATCTTAATTATTATTATCAGTTAATATTAATTAATGATCAAGATTTTATCACGTAATTCAATACATAAATTCAATATATATTTTCGATGACTCTATCATTTTTTATCATAGTTTGTCAACAATTTGGTATTGAAATGTTTAAAAATGACAATTAATTACTTTTGTACAAATCTTAATAAAATCTATTTAATTAAGGACAATATAATAATTTTATATCTAATCCAAAAATAAACTTTAATATTAATCATTAATTTTAAATTAATCCATAAACCCCTAATTTTTTTTTTATCCTATTTCTTTATTTCCTTTTTATCTTTTCTCTCTTATTCTTCTTCTTCATCTCTCCCTTCTCTTTCTTCTCCGTCTTTTCCCTCCTCCCCTTCTCTTTTTTCCTTTTCTTCTCCCTTTTTTCCCAAATTCATCCAGATTCGCTAGAAAAAATCACCTCCATAAATATAAACACAATTGAAATTCATCCCCATCTTAACACCACATTCAAAATTCATTCTCCATCTCAACTTCATAATCAAATTCATCTTACATCTCAACTAAACAATCACGGAAGAAAAAAAAAAAATCAAAAGTCAAACCCATTGCTGAAACCTATGAAAAAGAAAAATGAAATTGTCTTGTCTCAGTCGGGACCTCTACCAGCTCCAAACTCACCACCAGAACCACCAAATACTACCATCACCACCGCAACAAACCACCACAAATTTCAAACACTTCCAACCCAAATTGTAAAAAGTTACAAAAATTTGAAAAAAAATTAAAAATTAAAAAACTGAAGAGGAAAAGATAGGTTCTTGCCTAGCGAGCAAAGGGAAAAGAGGGAGAAAAAAAGGAAAAGAGAGAAGGGGAGGAGGGAAAAGACGGAGAAGAAAGGAAAGAAAGAGGAGGGAAAAGAGGGAGAAGAAAAGGAGAAAAGAGAAGGGGAGGAGGGAAAAGACGGAGAAGAAAGGAAAGAAAGAGGAGGGAAAAAACGGAAAAGAAAAGGACAAAAGAGGAGGGCGGAGGGAAAAGACAGAGAAGAAAGGAAAGAAAGAGGAGGGAGAGATGAAGAAGAAGGATAAGAGAGAGAAGAGAAAATAGAAATAAAGAAATAGGATAAAAAAAATTAGGAGTTTATAGATTAATTTAAAACTAACGATGAATATTAAAGTTTATATTTTGGTTGGATATAAAATTATTATATTGTCTTAAATGATTTTGCTAATAGATTTAGACATAAAGGAGGTAATTATCGTTTTCAAACCTTTCGGGTCTTTATGACAAACTATGGATGGGTGTATGTCCTTTGTCCTTAGAAATTTAACAAAACGGTAGCCCAAGTTTAATATAATATCTGGAATAAAACTTGACTGAGCCTCCAGATTTCCCGTAGTTAAAATGGAGCTGAAAAAAGAGAAACGCGCGTTAAAATTACTATTGAAATAGTGTCTATGGCATTGGCAGGAAGGAAGTAGCAAAAGAATAGACCATGCATAGCCATTAGCCACCGGCCTAAAAAGTATTTTCTTGTCTTTGTCATGCTAGCTTGGGCGTAGAAACAAGTTATTGTTTTCCCACTACACCAACTTAACAACCCTCACATTACTGAAATATGAATTTCATTCGAACCCCAACATTGACACAGTCAATTATTGTTGGCGGACAGCTTCATTTTTGCTGCTTTGGCACTTCCCTGGGACTATTAAGAGTCAAGAAATTTTCCTTCTACTTGAGAGCTTGTTGGTAGATTGAAGAAGTGTACAAAAAATACTCCAATTTTTGTAAGTAATTAAGAAGACAAACCTATCCATTGTGGAGACTTAAAAGGAAAAAAACGATGATAGATATATCTTGATGAAAAATGCTATATCCACCAAAAAATTATACCGAAACAGATGGAGCTTCTTATCTCTGTCAGTATGGACAGCTGTCCATACTTAATGGAAGGTCGTCCATTCCTTATGGACGGGCGTCCATTAGAGTAGAGACGTCCGTCCATTCCTAATGGACGGGCGTGGATTAGAGTAGGAACGCCCGTCCATTCCTTATGGACGGGTGTCCATTCTAGATTTTTTTTAAATTTTTATTTTTTTTTCCATACTTAAAGGACGGTCGTCCATTCCTTATGGACGAGCATCCATTCCAGATTTTTTTTAAAATTTTTATATTTTAAAAAAAAATTAATAACGTTAAATGCTTGAATGGTCTAAGTCAGGAGACACGTAGGCCGGTACAAAATTTCGATGTAAAAACCCCGGTGTCTGTAGCATTGTTGATGGTCTAAGTCAGGAGACACGCAGGTCGGTATAAAATTTCTGTGTAAAAACCCCGGTATCTGTAACATTGTTGATATCTTGATGGTCCAATGTATGAAATTTTAGAATCTCAAGCAAAATGTGTCGATGAATCGTTAGGAACTTAGAGAAAAGAAGATAATAGAGAGGAGATAAAAACCGTCGGATAATAGGATAAATTTCAAGATCCGGATAAGGATAAAAAGACGGCTTAACTCATGACGTATAACCATTTGTGTGACTTTGTAGTGTGTAAAGACGCAACAACAGAACCGCCGCAGCTACTTACACAGGAGTATGACAGGATGCCTGCGGTCCCTCCCTATAATTACAAGTTTACTTCTTCCATTTTCCTCGTGGCAGAGTCTACGATAAACTGGGAAGCATGGAAAATCCCTCAAAAAAACTGAAACACGAAGGACGTCCTGAACCAGAAAACGAGCACAATATCATGGTCTCCGCTCTGAAGCGCATAATCGCAGGCGACACTGGTGATGATCAGGGTGCTACCTCTTCATTTCCTTCAACTGGTACTACTGCTGGTGGGAGCAAGGATGAGCAACTAGTCCACACAACCATATCTCTGCCTGCAGTTGCTGAAACGTGTCAGCAATGCAAAATTGAGGGCTGTCTTGGATGCAACTTTTTCTCCGATGAAAGAAATGAACAGGACGACCCAAAGGAGAAGAAGAAGTACAGGGGAGTTAGGCAGAGGCCATCGGGTAAATGGGCAGCTGAGATTTGGAACCCGGTCGGAGCAGAACGTGTATGGCTTGGCACTTTCGAGACGGACGAGGCTGCTGCCAGAGCCTATGATGAGGGAGCCATTAAATTCCGACACTTACGGGGACTTAAAGCTAAGCTTAATTTTCCAATCTCAGACTATAATATAAATCAAATCGTGGAACGTGAACAAATCGATATAAATGCAGCTGAACGCCATACAGGAAACGATGAACAACGCACAGATGATGTAGATATATAGCAATAGATAGATATCTTCATAGAAATTAAATTAGATGTGAGAGTTGATCCATGAATTCTTTCTTAACAGAGTTTTCGAAATTACTCCATTAATATTTTATGTAAAGAAAGAAGGGATGAGATAGAGTAAATGAAAATGTAAATTCTATCAAAATAATAAAAAATTTATCTTCAATTTAAGTTGTTGTAGCTCAAATTTTTTACTTAATTACTTAATACTATATTACCTTGTGTAATTGATAGGCACATGCCAGGTTAGTATTTTTTTTTTAATTAAATACCCATTCAAAATATTTTTTTTCAAGATTATTATCACCGTCTCCAATTCTAATGGCTGTCAAATCTTCATCCAAATAAATTACTGAAGAGGCTGTTGAATGGGATTTTATTAGTATTGGTTTGTTATTTTGTTAGAATTTTATAATGTCTAATGCCATTTAAGAGCTTGAATTAAATAAATTCTCGCGGATGGTATTTAGATTTTAATTATTTGAGCCCGTTAGAAGGGAGATGGCCAAGAATAGGCAAATTCAGAAATATCCAAAATTTGAAAGATAGTATTGAAAGAAATAAGAGTTTGAAATTTGGGAAAGAAACAGTCTACATGTAACAAAGTATTTAAAACAACAATCTAAATCTAAGTGATCACTTCTATTGGTGTATGAGAGAACTCTGAATTCAGAAATTCATGAAACCTCTATTTGTTTTTTTATCATCTTTTTTTTATTCTTTTACTATCATACTATTAATGATAGTTAAGGTTTTCATTTCTTATTCTTCCTTTTTTGTAAATTTGGTAGATCTCCACGTATTTCTCTTTCATCTTCATCTCTTTCTTATCTCTCTACGGTTTCTTTTTTCCTTTAAAAGTTTTCCTCTCCAACTTTTTCATATGAGTAATGTTACATTTATACCATTTTTTTATACCAGTTTTATTACATCATGATGTGACATATGTTGTAACCACACAAATTCTATTATAATATTAAAAATTAAAAATAATTAAAAATTTATATAATTGTGGTATATGTCACGTCATGATGTAATAAAAATTGTGTAAAAGATTGATATAAGTGTAGCATTAGTCTTTTCATATTTCTTCTTTTTCAGTCTCACCCTTCCTCCCATTCTTTTTGTCTTCTTCTTCTTCCTCTCTCCTACTGAGAAGAGATTAATTTTTTTTTCTTTGTTATATATATATATATATTGGAAAGGAGGTTCACTACTGTTAGGGTTTGACAAATTTCTAGTGAATGTAAAGGGCTTAATATTTGTTATTTTTAGAAGATGATGTAGGATTTATTTCATGTAAAGAAAGTTGACTTTTTGTTAGACATTTATTATTTTTAAAACCATAATTACATTATCAACTTCTTAGAAATAATTTTATTTGAAAAACTAAGAGATACAAACTTTCATACATAAATCAATGTGTATATAGATGAGTATATGTAAAAAGTAAACTCGATAAATACTAAATCAATGTGGTAGCAACAGAACTAGAAAAACTATTTACGGGCTAAAATGTAATGTTCAATGGATAAGGGTGGCCAAAGAGAATTAGAAAGTTAAATTTAATACCATAATGTGGTATATATTTTATATAAAGAAAGTTGACTTTTATTGGACATTTATTTTATTTTAGAAATATTTTTCTTTGAGTGTGGATTGTAAATTAATGGACCATCTACAAAATTATATAATAAATCAAATATTGTGTCAATTTTTTCTTAATTTAAAAAAATAATTAGGATAAATTTGTAAAGTAATTAATATTCTTCAAAAACCTCATACATATTCTTTAAAAATTCTCAAATTTAAATGTCTTAAAGTTTCTAATGTGCAAGCTAAAGGTCAACGACTGGTAGTTGGCTTTGATTTCATAGTTTGTGAAGTTAGCAACATGTTGTTAACTTTTAATCTCGTATGCTATAAATTTAAAACCGTCTACATCAAAGATTAACTATATATATATAACTCATGTAAGGTTGATGATGGACTCATTTAAAGACATGAACATCTTATGAGTAATCACTCCATTAGTTTAGTGTAAATCTTATTTTCATTATGCAACTATGTAATTAATTTCTGTAACATTTTATCTGCAATTATCTTTTGCTATTTTATAATTTTGATCAATTTATCTACAATTTAAATATGAAGTTATTTCTCACCCCTTCTTCACTTCTTTCAAAAAAAAAAATTTAGGCCTCAATCCGTTTTCATAATTGAGCTTTTGGAGAAACTAATTAGCGTTTAATTATAAGCCAAGATAGAGAACCAATGGTGACTAATTCTACCTATGTAAACATTTGTCCTGTCATGTCAACTCAAAAGCAAAAAAAGTGTTACGTACGTCGAAGTATTTCTACCTTAAAGCCTAGTTCTTCTTTCAATTTCTCGAAATTAATTTACAACCAATTTACAATAAAAACACTTAACAAATAGTTCAGTTTCTTTTCTACCGCTTGATATATGTTAATAAGCTTTTTTTTTTCTTTAATTTATTCTGTAATTTTTTTTTCTTAATTTCCCTCTCTTTCTAATGTTGTTATTGGTTAACCTTTTGGAAGTGATCCAAGAACGTTCTTGGATGACTTCAAAAAGGGTGAAATATATATATATATCAACTTTGTATTTAATTGCATATGAGATTTTACAAAGAGGATTTGTTTACTTTTTAGTGTTTTCTAAAGAAACACATGTTTTCTAGGTAATACTTTCCAACCTTGATCGAATTAATAATTTGTAAAATGACATGGTATCACCAAATTAGATCCAAAATCATTTTGGAAATGCAAATATTTAGATATAATCTTGAAAATTAAGTATAACAATTCTCGTTAATGTGAAATGAAAATCAAATGAAAAGCATCATAGGTAAGTAGCATGGTGCCTTACTCCTATATCACGTATGAATGATATGAATAACATATATAAAGTAGGGCTTTGCAAATATAAAATTTTAATTAATGCTTATATAAGTATTGACACATTCTTGAACACTCTTTATTATAAACTGAAAAAGCATACATAAGAAAATTCCATTTTGCAATATTATAATTTTTTATATCTTCCAATTTGGTGGATGATCAGGAACTGTGTACCCTAAAACACAAGATTAATTAGTTAATTTACATTTCAATTGATCAAATTAAAATAAAATTTAAGGTTTAAAGTGTAGGGTTTTTGAACAAAAATTTTATTCTTACTTCCACATTTGAAGCCTAGTTGAATTGCTTTGTCACAATAGGAGTAACAAAATTGCAAGCACAACGGATGTTAAATTTGTTCACTGCGCTACAACACTTGCGGCGGATTCAAATTAGGATTTTCAACGAACTTGGAGCATTGTTTTCTAAGGTCGGAAATATTTCCTCCACATAGTGTTTGTTGCGAGACCCCAAGATGAGGGAGCATCAAGATTGCCACCACCATTGACACCGTTGTCGCCATGGCTAAACCTTGAGTGTTTACCATCACCATTTCTTGTTTATACACTATTGCTAAATCTTTGCTAGTGTTCTTGCATATAAATATAAAAATTAAATTATTGAAATTAAATGTAAAGAGTTAATATTAGTTTATGTAAATAAGGTTAATTTAGAATGAAAAAAATAATGCTTTTAATTGATTAATTAAAAAAGAGGTTAAAGTCTTTTGGAAAGTATATAAATGAGCCTTATCTTGTAATTAATTTATTTTTCCATATTTAGTATATAAATAAATTTTTTAATAATAATAATAATAATGGAAAGTAGTTCTAATTCACACAATTAGAGCCTAACTTATATTTTAACTATAAAAAAACCTTTTATTAAAAACTCTCGAATAAGGGTACTTAATATTTTTCAATAATAACATATGCACTTCATAATAAGTGACCTTACTTGAAAGGGCGTGTACAACCCATACAAACTCGAAAATCTGACACGGACCAAGTCGATCTAAGCAGGTTGGTTCAATTTTGTAAGAGTGTTCAAATTACATCAGTACAAAAACAATAATATTAGAGGTACAAAAAAATTTACAAAGATTTCTTGTACAAAGTGATGTGGCAGAGGAGTGAATACAAAAAGTCAAATTCATCATATCCACTCATCCATTCATCTCTTGTCACATCATTTTGTACAAGAAATCTTCGTACATTTTTGTGTACGTCTAGCATTACCCGTACAAAAAAGAGAAATCAAATTTTTTGTGGTTCGATTCAAAACAAAATCGATCCCGAGCCCGAACACCCAATAATTTGGGTTACAAAGTAAATGAATAAATTGTAAATTTTTTTGCCAAAATAATTGATATGGGTTTTTTGAGAATTAGTAGCCCATCAAGGGTTTGACAATAATTGATATGGGTTTTATGAGAATTAGTAGCCCTCGCGCCAAAAATGTTGCTCACAACAGAGATAAACTAAATACTTTAAATTATCTGGGTCTTCTAAAGATTTGTTACTATCATCCAACATTAAAGTACAAAAAATTACATGTATCGTTTTAATAATATAATCTTATTTTTATTCTCATTAATACGGTGCAATATATATATCTTAACGTTTATTATAAACTTTGTATCGTGTTAGGTAGAACAAGGAACACTTTGGTATATCGTATTATCTTGTTTAGTACTATATGACATTTATTATATCATATAACACTAATATAACGAAACATAATAGGGTGTTCAATGTACTACTAATTTCATATACTTTTTCCTCATTCGATTACTATTGTTTTTTCAATAGTGTTGTAGCTTGATTTAACACTCCAAAACGTCAATTATTGTTGGTGGACAACTTCATTTTTGCTGCTTTGGCACTTCCCTGGGACCATTACGAATCAAGAAATTTTCCTTCTACTTGAGAGCTTGTTGGTAGATTGAAGAAGTGTACAAAAAATACTCCAATTTTTGTAAGTAACTAAGAAGACAAAGCTATCCATTGTGGAGACTTAAAAGGAAAAAAACGATGATATATATATCTTGATGGTCCAATGTATGAAATTTTAGAATCTCAAGCAAAATGTGTCGATGAATCTTTAGGAACTTAGATAAAAGAAGATAACAAAGAGGAGATAAAAACCGTCGGATAGTAGGACAAATTTAAAGAGCCAGAAAAGAATAAAAAAGACGGCTTAATTCATGATATATGACCACTTGTGTGACTTTGTAGTGCGTAAAGACGCAACAACAGAACCGCCGCAGCTACTTACACACGATGCCTCCGGTCCCTCCCTATAATTACAAGTTTACTTCTTCCATTTTCCTTGTGGCAGATTCAACGATAAACTGGGAAGCATGGAAAATCCCTCAAAAAAACTGAAACACGAAGGACGTCCTGAACCAGAAAACGAGCACAATATCATGGTCTCCGCTCTGAAGCGCATAATCGCAGGCGACACTGGTGATGATCAAGGTGCTACCTCTTCATTTCCTTCAACTGGTACTACAACTGGTGAGAGCAAGGATGAGCAACTAGTCCACACAACCATATCTCTGCCTGCAGTTGCTGAAACGTGTCAGCAATGCAAAATTGAGGGCTGTCTTGGATGCAACTTTTTCTCCGATGAAAGAAATGAACAGGACGACCAAAAGGAGAAGAAGAAGTACAGGGGAGTTAGGCAGAGGCCATCGGGTAAATGGGCAGCTGAGATTTGGAACCCGGTCGGAGCAGAACGTGTGTGGCTTGGCACTTTCGAGACGGACGAGGCTGCTGCCAGAGCCTATGATGAAGCAGCCATTAAATTCCGACACTTACGGGGACTTAAAGCTAAGCTTAATTTTCCAATCTCAGACTATAATATAAATCAAATCGTCGAATGTGAACAAATCGATATAAATGCAGCTGAACGCCATACAGAAAACGATGAACAACGCACAGATGATGTAGATATATAGCAATAGAGAGATATCTTCATAGAAATTAAATGAGATGTGAGAGTTGATCCATGAATTCTTTCTTAACAGAGTTTGACAGGGTTAACTCTTTTGTATTTGAATTCTCCATTTGTCAAATTTAAATGTTAAGAAGTTCATTTAAGTTGTACATTATGGAAGATCAAGATCGCAATTTCTTGATAGTTTGCCTTAGTTGAAGAGTTTCAAATTTTTTTGCCGGGAAGACATCTTGGAAATTCAACGAAGACTATTTGAAACTCCATGGGCGCGCGATAAATAAAACGGAGTCAATAGTATGACCCTAATTATCTGAAAATTTTTGTTATGTAATGAGACCTCAATTTGAAGGGATTATTCATTAACTCAATACAATAAAGCAAAACTTCAATTGAAATTTTAGGGTAACTTTTTTTTTTTTTTAATCACAGAGGTATTTGGGTTAGCTTACGCATACCTCAACTAATCTTTCAGGATTCTGAAACTACTGATCGGATAAAAGCCCAAGTGACCACTCTTATTAGTGTCTGAGGGAACTTAAACTCTAGAGTTCATAGAATCTCCTTTTACTTTTTTACCATCAGGTCACCCAATGATGGTTATTTTAGGATAACTTTTAAAGCCACTGTATTTTCATAAAATACCATCCAAATGCTAATTATAGTTGTATTATACAAATCAGTCTTGTTTTTTTCAACAATTATTCAAACACCACCATTGTGTTAAGATTGGTATGTCCATTATTGTTATGGAAAAAATTGTCATTTCCATTATGTACACTCATTTCCATCAATTATTAAAGAAAATGAGACGCTATTAACATTAGGGATAGTGTTTGATCAATTGTTGAAAAGATTGGCATGGCCCCGTACTTAGCATTTGAGTAATACTTTCAGAAAAACCCAATGAGAGTTTTTTAAATTACTCCATTAATGTTTTATGTAAAGAAAGAAGGGATGAGATGGAGTAAATGAAAATGTAAATGTAAATTCTATCAAAATAATAAAAAATTTATCTTCAATTTAAGTTGTTGTAGCTCAAATTTTTTACCTAATAATATATTACTAAATACTATATTACCTTGTGTAATTGATAGGCACATGCCAGGTTAGTATTTTTTAATTAAATACCCCTTCAAACTTTTTTTTTTTTTTTTTTTTTTTCAAGATTAGTGTCACCGTCTCCAATTCTAATGACTGTCAAATCTTCATCCAAATAAATTACTGAAGAGGCTGTTGAATGGGATTTTATTAGTATTGGTTTGTTATTTTCTTAGGATTTTATAACGTCTAATCTCATCTAAGAGCTTGAATTAAATAAATTCTTGAGGATGGTATTTAGATTTTAATTATTTGAGCCCGTTAGAAGGGATTTTATAACGTCTAATCTCATCTAAGAGCTTGAATTAAATAAATTCTCGAGGACGATATTTAGATTTTAATTATTTGAGCCCGTTAGAAAGGAGATGGCCAGGAATTTAGGCAAATTCAGAAATATTCAAAATTTGAAAGATAGTATTGAAAGAAATAAGAGTTTGAAATTTGGGAAAGAAACAGTCCACATGTAACAAGGTATCTAAAACAACAATCTTAGTGATCACTTCTATTGATGCTCAAGAGAACTCGAATTTAGAAGTTTATGAAATCTCTTTTTATTTTTTTATCGTCATACTATTAATGATAGTTAAGGTTTTCAGTTTTTATTCTTCTTTTTTGTAAATTTAGCAGATCTACACATATTTCTCTTCCATCTTCGTCTCTTTCTTATCTCTCTACGGTTCAGTCTTTTTCCCTTTAAAAGTTTTCCTCTCCAACTTTTTCATATTTCTTCTTTTTCAGTCTTCACCCTTCCTCCAATTCTTTTTATCTTCTTCTTCTTCGTCTCTCCAATTGAAAAGAGATTAATTTTTTTCCTTTGTTATATATATATGTTGGAAAGGAGGTTCACTACTGTTAATTAAATTAGATCCAAAATCATTTTGGAAATGCAAATATTTAGATATAATCTTGAAAATCAAGTATAACAGTTCTCGTTAATGTGAAATGAAAAGCATCATAGGTAAGTAGCATGGTGCCTTACTCCTATATCACATATGAATGATATGAATAACATATATAAAATTTAATTAAATATATAAATTAAGAATTTTTATATTTTTAATCGAGTTTGAATAATATATATATATATATATCTATATCAAATATCCAAAATATCCAAGAAATTATATTTAATTAATGGTGTAGGGCTTTGCAAATATAAAATTTTAATTAATGCTTATATAAGTATTGACACATCCTTGAACACTCTTTATTATAAACTGAAAAAGCATACATAAGAAAATTACATTTTGCAATATTATCATTTTTTATATCTTCCAATTTGGTGGATGATCAGGAACTGTGTAGCCTGAAACACAAGATTAATTAGTTAATTTACATTTCAATTGATCAAATTAAAATAAAATTTAAGGTTTAAAGTTTAGGGTTTTTGAACAAAATTTTTATTCTTACTTCCACATTTGAAGCCTGGTTGAATTGTGAGACCACATTTTCTTGCTACAATAACCGCATTCGTCATGTTAACCAGCTTTGTCACAATAGGAGTAACAAAATTGCAAGCACAATGGATGTTAAATTTGTTCACTGCGCTACAACACTTGCGGCGGATTCAAATTAGGATTTTCAACGAACTTGGAGCATTGTTTTCTAAGGTCGGAAATATTTCCTCCACATAGTGTTTGTTGCGAGACCCCAAGATGAGGGAGCATCAAGATTGCCACCACCATTGACACCGTTGTCGCCATGGCTAAACCTTGAGTGTTTACCATCACCATTTCTTGTTTATACACTATTGCTAAATCTTTGCTAGTGTTCTTGCATATAAATATAAAAATGAAATTATTGAAATTAAATGTAAAGAGTTAATATTAGTTTATGTAAATAAGGTTAATTTAGAATTAAAAAATTAATGCTTTTAATTGATTAATTAAAAAAGAGGTTAAAGTCTTTTGGAAAGTATATAAATGAGCCTTATCTTGTAATTAATTTATTTTTCCATATTTAGTATATAAATAAATTTTTTAATAATAATAATAATAATGGAAAGTAGTTGTAATTCACACAATTAGAGCCTAACTTATATTTTAACCATAAAAAAACTTTTTATTAAAAACTCTCGAATAAGGGTACTTAATATTTTTCAATAATAACATATGCACTTCATAATAAGTGATCTTACTTGAAAGGGTGTGTACAACCCATACAAACTCGAAAATCTGACACGAACCAAATCGATCTAAGCAGGTTGGCTCAATTTTGTAAGTGTTCAAATTACATAAGTACAAAAACAATAATACTAGAGATACAAAAAAATTTACAAAGATTTCTTGTACAAAATGATGTGACAGAGGAGTGAATACAAAAAGTCAAATTCATTATATCCATTCATCCGTTCATCTCTTGTCACATCACTTTGTACAAGAAATCTTTATAAATTTTTGTGTACGTCTACCATTACCGTACAAAAAAGAGAAATTGAATTTTTTGTGGTTCGATTCAAAACAAAATCGATCCTGAGCCCAAACACCCAATAATTTGGGTTACAAGGTAAATGAATAAATTGTAAATTTTTTTGCCAAAATAATTGATATGGGTTTTATGAGAATTAGTAGCCCATCAAGGGTTTGAAAATAATTGATATGGGCTCCGTTTGGTTCACAATTTTATGTTTTTGGGAAATTTTTTTTGAAAAAAGTTAAAAAAAAGTTGAATTGAGCGGGTATTACGATGTAGGATTTATAAATTGATAAAATACCCCCTATATTTGTTTTTTTACAAAACACCCCTTATAATAAAACATTAAAAGTTAATAAAAATACCCCCAATCCACCCTCAAATACGGACAGCGGGCCACCACCACCGGAGGGTGGCCGGAGTCGCCGTAACAAAAACATTAAAAATATTTAGGGGTATTTAATTAAATTAACAAATTTAGGGGATTTAAAAAATGTTGAATAAAGTTGAATAATATTGTAAGTTTTTTGGTATTTTACTGTTTAACTTTTTTGGGAATACTAAAAATAGTATTCCCAAAATCCAACCAAACGAAGCCATGGGTTTTATGAGCATTAGTAGCCCTCGCGCCAAAAATGTTGCTCACAGCAAAGATAGAACTAAATACTTCAAATTATCTGGGTCTTCTAAAGATTTATTACTATCATCCAACATTAAAGTACAAAAAATTACATATATCATTTTAGTAATATAATCTTATTTTTATTCTCATTAATACAGTGCAATATTATATATCTTAACATTTAATATAAACTTTGTATCGTGTTATCATATTATCTTTGTTTAGTACTATATAACATTTATTATATCATATAACACTAACATAACGAAACATAATAGGGTGTTCAATGTACTACTAATTTCATATACTTTTCCCTCATTTGATTACTATTGTTTTTTAAATAGTGTTGTAGCCTGATTTAACACTCCAAAAAGTCAAGGATTAATAAGAATAATGTACTATTAAATCCAAAATTAAAAGGGTTTATTATTAAAGCATTTGTTTTTTTAGATTATACAAAAATATCAATTATCGCATAATTTTTGTCGTATAAGTGACCGTGTGAGAATGAGAATTAGGATAATGAGGCCCAAATATAAGAGCCCATAAGTTGGGAAGAGGAGAGGCTTAACATGGGTAAGCCCAATCAAGGCCCAAATGGGTAACCACAATCCGTAAAAGGCTCAAACTCAAATCAAGATGCAAAATCTATTATTGGATACACAATGCTGTAAAACTCCGAAATTTTGGTTTTGGATGATAAAAAATAAGTCTTTCTATAATTCTAATTATTATTATAGAATTGGAAATTTTACCTTTTAGGGTTTAGGGTTTAGGATTTAACCTAATGGTCTTGACATGCATAATTTATGTAGGTTCAGTCTTTATTAATTACCCCTTTTTTATTAATTTTGTTTGGTTTTTTGCTTTAACCAATTTGTTTTTGTTCTAGTGTTCCTAGATTTGACCACACTCCTCTATTTTCCTCCTATTTTATATTATATTATTTTGAATTTGTCCCTTCTAAAATTAATTTCTTCGGGTGGCCAGGGCAATACCATAATTTTAACATTTTGGATTATGATATTATTTAATACATTTTTAGATTAAATACCTATTTCGATCTCCTTGGATGTTGAGTTATGTAAATGTATCAAATTGCCCTTGCAAATTCCAATTAAAAGGGTCTCTTTTGATATTATTTTAATTATAAAGGCCACAATTGTGTTTTTAATTTTGTTAAGGTAAACTCGCCCCATCAATTTGTTTAAAATCAAAACTCCATCTTTTCCACTTCTCCAATTGTAATATCAAAGTCCCAAATCAGTATTAAACAAACTCCACTAATCCGTCAAATCAAATCATTAATATATATATTATTAAACCTCAGGTGTGTCCAGTCAAAACCCCACAGAAGCAAGTAATGAAAGCAGATAATGAAGGGTTCCCGAAAAACCAAAATCCAAGTAAAAGCAGTAGTTGATGGGACTCAGGCTGCAGAGTCGGCTAAAAGTGATTCAGTGGGTAGACAATCAATGAGCATTTCCCAAAGCTCACATTTGTTAATATTGCTACTGTTTTTACATAATTTGATAGGGGTTCAGGTATGCAAAATCAAGCTACCTACGCTTAATAATGTTTTGTTAATAATTGCACTGAGTTTTGTGTTTTGGTATTGGTAATCAACCAGCCTATCAGCTAACTCCATGGTGGTAGTAGGAAATGAAACGGAGGAGAATCATCTGAATCTGGTTCTAATCACTGAAACATCTAGTAAATGAAATCTACAATAAAAGTGATGAAAGAACAGAGTCGGAGGTAAGCGTTCCCCAAAGCTCACATTTATCATTACTGCCATGAAAATAAAAAAAATAAAAAATCAGCAGGATCATAAATAATTTTAATACATCAAATACCAAGAGATAAACAATCAGGTTTGCAGCCTAGAAAGGACAAATAAAGGAATCGATAGACCAACTACCACACTAGAATCCATTCCTCCCTCACTTCGTCAAAAGACTCAAAACTGCTATTATCGACCAGTTTTGCAAACTTACATTACAAAAACCAGCATAGCTTTAATTATATTGGCGCTCAAATTCACACACTTGACATTCCATATTTACGCAATGAATCATGCCAAATGTAAAGAAAACGCTCATCCCAAAAAGTCACCCTTCTTTCTGGCGCTCTTTTCTCAATCCAAGAAGATCATCCTCCATCATGCTCATGATGGTGCTGATGTCCCACTCGTGGTCTGTTTAGCCACATAAATCTGCTTCATCTTTGAGGGGGCAAAACCCTTTTCTGCACTGAAGGGCTGGTTCCGCCCATGGAACCCCATTCTTCGGTGGGACCATTCGCCTCCAGAACTATTCTTTTGTGAAATACCACTTCCTCTTTGATAACTGTACCCTGAAGAATTACTGTACTGCTGGGAAGATGTATTCTTTTGCTGCGAAGACTGAGGCTTAAAAGTAGCAATATTGTTTTGGCCAACACTCTCACTGCTGCTGCTGCTGCCGCTATTCTGAACAACATCAATCTTGCCAGCATCTGTGATGGTGCTTAGAGACAAGCTCTTAGCAACAACATTCTGTGTCGAAGTCCCAGGACCAGTAGTGTTTGATGAGTCAACTAACCCCAGTTCATCAGGCAACTGGGTGACAGTTACATCACTAGCTGCATGATAATTCCGGCTGCTCTCAGAGGGTGTTGATGTTCGGGACTCAGAAAACCTATTGGCAGATGACTGGTCAACAGGAGGTCCATGGTTATATTGTGGAGGAAGTACACCATCTGGCTGTTGTTGCAATGGCATTGATATGGAAACGGGCTGATGAGGAGCTGCAGTAACATTCGACCACTGACCTTGGACCGACATATCTGAAGAGGACTGGACACAAAATATTCAACCAAGTGTTAGCAAAAAGAAATGTGGTAGTAAATTACTCTAATCAACAGCAAGATATGCTTATTCTGTAGTCCCAAGGCTTCAGAATAATTCTGAACAAAAACACTCCCTACCCGTTTCATTGGCATAAAACCAATGGATTTTTTTTTTGCAAAACATAATTCAGTAACAAAAAACCTACAGAAGAGGGGAAGGAGAGAAACCATCATTTTAGAAGTCAAATGGCTTTCCGTTTTAGAAAATCTCTACCTGAAACGGGGAAACATCAAACATCGCCAAAGTAGAAGCCATAGGCATGAGAGGTGACCCAGGGGCAAGATGCTGGATTGGAGCAGTTAAACTGGTAGGATTGCGTTGGGCAGCTACCATGTTCAAATCGTTCACCTCTCCTTCACCAACACCCATAGCAGAAGATACAGGATGACGCTTCCAATCAGGTTGCTTTGCAGACGGAATATAGGTGGCACCCATAAAACTCAAACCAACTTGTCCAAACTGTCCCACTGGTGCAAAATGGTTGTAGAAAACCATGTGTGGTGGGCCTTGAACCCCTGGTATACCCCCAGTCGGGCTGATGAAAGGGCCAGCATATCCTGTGGGAGCACCATAGAATGAATCTACACCAGAATGACATTGTTGCCAGGTCCCAAGGGGAGTTGAACTTGGAATACTACTCTTCTGGGTCTGTGATTGAGCAGGGACAGATTCATCATGAGGTCCAAAAGTGAAAATCGGACCCCCCAACATGGGATTCATCTCATAGAAAGGAAAATGAGATGCTGGGCCTCCAGGGAAATGTGAGATCATCTGGCTAGAAGAATTGGGTGGGCTCGGTAAAGGTGGCCACAGGGAAATTGGCGGGGTCTCAACAGACAAATCTGCTGGCAAAGCTACAGTGAGAGACTCTTCAGCTCTAGATTGACTCACTGATTGCTGATCACCTGCTAAGGAAGATTAGACAAGTGTCAGGTCAATAGATTGGAAAAAAAATTAACACCAAAAAATATATGGTGCAAGGCTAACCACTGTGGTAGCAAAAATATATTTACTACCAGCTGTTATACCATCAATTTCTGCACCTCCAAAACTTTTGGTCTCTGATACAGAGGCAGAGCAAGTTCCCAGTCCATTCCCAATAATCTCATCACTACTTATAGCAGCAACAGCAATGGCAGAGGCAGCAGCTTCAGCTTCACAATCTTCCAGATTGACACAAGTTTCATTAGAGTGTTTCTCTTTGTCAAAGAAGAGAGTGCAATCACTCTTAGCTGCAGAAATATTATGGGCGATTTGAATTTCTGAGCGGCATGGACCAGGAGGGCCTATTCCATGAGAAACGGCACGAGTGCTAGGTGGGAGAACTGTGGGAGATGTCACAGCACCTGGATGCAAGAGGAAGAATGAACTTTAAGAAAGAGAGAAAAGAGCATTTCTAGAAAGCTAAAAGACTCAACAAAAGAAAATATGCCCACCAAATTGAATTTTCTCCCCAGCAAGCAAAGAGTTTATTGGGCTTGCAGTGGAAGAAAATGACTTGTCTTTTGTCAAGATAGCTGATGATGGCATGCTGGGCTCACCAACTGAGCTAGTATGATCTTTACTGGAAACACGAGAATCAAATTGCCCAGGATTCATAGCCTCATCTAGCTGGTTCTGCGTTAGGGCCATTACCTACCAGAAACTTGAATCAGGTTAAGATTTTCAAACATTTTCTCAGTAGCTACTTAAAACATATGAAACCATGCATAAGTAAATTTACCCGCCAGCAAAATAATAATAATAATTCAGCCCAATAAGTGGGAAAATATGTCATTCACTACAAGACAGTATGGTCCTGATGAAATTAATATCAAGACGTCCTGACTAGAAAATGGCTCTCTCTCTTCCATATATAGGGTCAGAGTGTCAAACTATATCAACTTAAGTCTTTGATTTAAAACAATTTAACGGTTGGTAAATGGGAAGTTACAAGTAGTTATTTTACGTGCCACGTCATTGTGATTTATCAATAGCTATAAATCAGTGTCTCAAATTAAATAAAAAATTTAAGTTACAATAGCTCGACCCATACATATATACATTTGTAAATCTTGATGGTAGGAGGAAAATTATTAAAAGGGAAAATTACTTTGGCTGTGCATCAGAACATACAGAAAGAAGAGACCAGGATACAGTGTAAAATAAATACACAGGACAAACGCGCCAAAGATGACAAGTGGCAGGTCAAACTTCACTGAACTAGAGGACATATTGGTAACACAAGGCTTAAAAAAAAAAAAATGAGTATCCCATCAGGGTTTGAAAATAATTGTATGGGCTCCGTTTGGTTCACAATTTTATGTTTTTGGGAAATTTTTTTTGAAAAAAGTTAAAAAAAGTTGAATTGACGGGTATTACGATTTAGGATTTATAAATTGATAAATACCCCCTATATTTGTTTTTTTTACAAAACCCCCTTATAATAAAACATTAAAAGTTAATAAAAATACCCCCAATCCACCCCAAATACGCCAGCGGGCCACCACCACCGGAGGGTGGCCGGAGTCGCCGTAACAAACATTAAAAATATTTAGGGGTATTTAATTAAATTAACAAATTTAGGGGATTTAAAAATGTTGAATAAAGTGGAATAATATTGTAAGTTTTTTGGTATTTTACTGTTTAACTTTTTTGGGATACTAAAAATATTATTCCCAAAATCCAACCAAACGAAGCCATGGGTTTTATGAGCATTAGTAGCCCTCGCGCCAAAATGTTGCTCACAGCAAAGATAGAACTAAATACTTCAATTATCTGGGTCTTCTAAAGATTATTACTATCATCCAACTAAAGTACAAAAATTACATATATCATTTTAGTAATATAATCTTTTTTTATTCTCATTAATCAGTGCAATATTATTATCTTACATTTATATAAACTTTGTATCTGTTATCATATTATCTTTGTTTAGTACTATAACATTTATTATCATATAACACTAACATACGAAACATAATAGGGTGTTCAATGTACTACTATTCTATACTTTTCCCTCATTTGATTACTATTGTTTTTAAATAGTGTTGTAGCCTGATTTAACACTCCAAAAGTCAAGATTAATAGAATAATGTACTATAAATCCAAAATTAAAAGGGTTTATTATAAGCATTTGTTTTTTAGATTATACAAAAATATCAATTATCGCATAATTTTTGTCGTATAGTGACCGTTTGAGAATGAGAATTAGGATAATGAGGCCCAAATTAAGAGCCCATAAGTTGGGAGAGAGAGCTTAACATGGGTAAGCCCATCAAGGCCCAAATGGGTAACCACAATCCGTAAAAGGCCAAACCAAATCAGATGCAAAATCTATTATTGGATACACAATGCGTGTAAACTCCGAAATTTTGTTTTTGGATGATAAAAAATAAGTCTTTCTATAATTCTAATTTTATTATAGAATTGGAAATTTTACCTTTTAGGGTTTAGGGTTTAGGATTTACCTAATGGTCTTGACATGCATAATTATTGTAGGTTCAGTCTTTATATTACCCCTTTTTTATTAATTTTGTTTGGTTTTTTGCTTTAACACAATTTGTATTTTGTTCTAGTGTTCCTAGATTTGACCACTCCTCTATTTTCCTCCTATTTTATATTATATTTTTTGAATTTGTCCCTTCTAAAATTAATTTCTTCGGTGGCCAGGGCAATACCATAATTTTAACATTTTGGATTATGAATTATTTAATACATTTTTAGATTAAATACCTATTTCGATCTCCTTGGATGTTGAGTTTGTAAATGTATCAAATTGCCCTTGCAAATTCCAATTAAAAGGGTCTCTTTTGATATTATTTTTATAAAGGCCACATTGTGTTTTTAATTTTGTTAAGGTAAACTCGCCCCATCAATTTGTTTAAAATCAAAACTCCTCTTTCCACTTCTCCAATTGAATATCAAAGTCCCAAATCAGTATTAAACAAACTCCCCTAATCCGTCAAATCAAATCATTAATATATATATTATAAACCTCAGGTGTGTCCGTCAAACCCCACAGAAGCAAGTAATGAAGCAGATAATGAGGGTTCCCGAAAAACCAAAATCCAAGTAAAAGCAGTAGTTGATGGGACTCAGGCGGCAGAGTCGGCTAAAAGTGATTCAGTGGGTAGACAATCAATGAGCATTTCCCAAAGCTCACATTTGTTAATATTGCAACTGTTTTTACATAATTTGATAGGGGTTCAGGTATGCAAAATCAAGCTACCTACGCTTATAATGTTTTGTTAATATATGCACTGAGTTTGTGTTTTGGTATTGGTAATCAACCACCTATCAGCTAACTCCATGGTGGTAGTGGAAATGAAACGGAGGAGAATCATCTGAATCTGGTTCTAATCCACTGAACATCTTATAAATGAAATCTACAATAAGTGATGAAAACAGAGTCGGAGGTAAGCGTTCCCCAAAGCTCACATTTATCATTACTGCCATGAAAATAAAAAAATAAAAAATCAGCAGGATCATAAATTTTTAATACATCAAATACCAGAGATAAACAATCAGGTTTGCAGCCTAGAAAGGACAAATAAAGGAATCGATAGACCAACTACCACACTAAATCCATTCCTCCCTCACTTCGTCAAAAGACTCAAAACTGCTATTATCGACCAGTTTTGCAAACTACATTACAAAACCAGCATAGCTTAATTATATTGGCGCTCAAATTCACACACTTGACATTCCATATTTACGCAATGATCATGCCAAATGTAAAGAAACGCTCATCCCAAAAAGTCACCCTTCTTTCTGGCGCTCTTTTCTCAATCCAAGAAGATCTTCCTCCATCATGCTCATGATGGTGCTGATGTCCCACTCGTGGTCTGTTTAGCCACATAAATCGCTTCATCTTTGAGGGCAAAACCCTTTTCTGCACTGAAGGGCTGGTTCCCCCCATGGAACCCCATTCTTCGGTGGGACCATTCGCCTCCAGAACTATTCTTTTGTGAAATACCACTCCTCTTGATAACTGTACCCTGAAGAATTACTGTACTGCTGGGAAGAGTTATTCTTTTGCTGCGAAGACTGAGGCTTAAAAGTAGCAATATGTTTTGGCCACCACCTCACTGCTGCTGCGCTGCCGCTATTCTGAACAATCAATCTTGCCAGCATCTGTGATGGTGCTTAGAGACAAGCTCTTAGCAACAACATTCTGTGTCGAAGTCCCAGGACCAGTAGTGTTTGATGAGTCAACTAACCCCAGTTCATCAGGCAACTGGGTACAGTTACATCACTAGCTGCATGATAATTTTTTGCAATATTATAATTTTTTTATATCTTCCAGTTTGGTGGATGATCAGGAACTGTGTAGCCTGAAACACAAGATTAATTAGTTAATTTACATTTCTATTGATCAAATTAAAATAAAATTTAAGGTTTAAAGTTTAGGGTTTTTGAACAAAATTTTTATTCTTACTTCCACATTTGAAGCCTGGTTGAATTGTGAGACCACATTTTCTTGCTACAATAACCGCATTCGTCATGTTAACCAGCTTTGTCACAATAGGAGTAACAAAATTGCAAGCACAATGGATGTCAAATTTGTTCACTGCGCTACAACACTCCTGTGACGGATTCAAATTAGGATTTTCAACGAACTTGGAGCATTGTTTTCTAAGGTCGGAAATATTTCCTCCGCATAGTGTTTGTTGCGAGACCCCAAGATGAGCGAGCATCAAGTTTGCCGCCACCATCACCACTATTGTCGCCATGGCCAAACCTCGAGTGTTTACTATCACCATTTCTTGTTTATACACTATTGCTAAATCTTTGCTAGTGTTCTTGCATATAAATGTAAAGAGTTAATATTAGTTTAAGTAAATAAGGTTAATTTAGAATGAAAAAATTAATGCTTTTAATTGATTAATTAAAAAAGAGGTTAAAGTCTGTTGGAAAGTATATAAATGAGCCTTTATCTTGTAATTAATTTCTTTTTCCATATTTAGTATATAAATAAATTTTTTAATAATAATAATAATAATGGAAAGTAGTTGTAATTCACACAATTAGAGCCTAACTTATATTTTAACTATAAAAAAACCTTTTATTAAAAACTCTCGAATAAGGGGTACTTAATATTTTTCAATAATAACATATGCACTTCATAATAAGTGATCTTACTTGAAAGGGTGTCTACAACCTATACAAACTCGAAAATCTGACATGGACCAAATCGATCTAAGTAGGTTGGTTCAGTTTTGTAAGAGTGTTCAAATTACACAAGTACAAAAACAATAATACTAGAGGTACAAAAAATTTTACAAAGATTTATTGTACAAAGTGATGTGGCAGAGAAGTAAATATAAAAAGTCAAATTCATCATATTCACTGATCAATTCATTTCTTACCACATCACTTTGTATAAGAAATATTTGTAAATTTCTATGTACGTCTTGCATTACCTGTACAAAAAAGAGAAATTGAATTTTTTGTGGTTCGATTCGAAACAAAATTGATCCCGAGCCCAAAAACCCAATAATTTGGGTTACAAGGTAAATGAATAAATCGTAATTTTTTTTGGCAAAATAATTGATATGGGTTTTATGAGAATTAGTAGTCCTCGCGGCAAAAATGTTGCTCACAACAGAGATAGAACTAAATACTTTAAATTATATGGGTCTTCTAAAGATTTA